GCCTCTACTTTAAAACATCTTCACAGGATTGGTAGAAAGTGTTTGCACTGAAGGGTCTGTTTTTTGGGGTTTTTTTGCCTTCCTCTGTGGAAGAACTACATAGGCGTGGTACTTCTATGTAGTGATTCTCCTTAAGAACCCCTCACTTCTGTTTTCTTAACAGAACTTCTGTGAAGTTACAAGGTTCTGTAATCTGAAGCAAAATAAACTTTCTAATTAGGTTAGAGCACTAAACACTGACCTGAAGAACTTGCTTTCCATTTACTTTTACTAGGCTTCTATATTGCCTGATTACCATTTCCATGCAATAAATATGCCATGTATCACTGTGGTTATGGTGATAGGGTTTGTAGAGAGATGGTTTTATTGAGGTATGCTGTTGGAGGCCTAAGGAGTGAAACCTTAGTTTGGGGTGTTTTTGAGAGTTCAGAGTTCTGTTCTGCTCAGTGTAGTCTAGTATCCTAGGGAAGAGCCTTCTGTTACTGGCACATGCTGAGGGGTCTGACACCAGCATGTCCTTCAGCACCTGGCAGTGTCAGTTGTAATAGCAGCCTTTGGCAGTAAGTTAGTGACTGGGCAGGTGCACCAGTTCTGGAGGCTTGTTATTCTTACTGTAGCAGTGTGATTTTTATTTTGTTTTTTTTTCGTTCTTGGTGCTGTGTAGCAATCAACTGCTGCTGAGGCTTTAATACTTCCAAAGGTATCACTTATTTTCAGTGATACCTTTCTGAGTATATCATTACTACCCCCACCTTTATATCTCTATTTGACCCCCAGCAGGAACTGCGACTCACTCCTGTATGGCTGGGAGTGCTTCTCCAGGCAACAAACCAAAGTGGAATATTGGAAGTGTAGGGTTGCTTGCTACAGTATTCTTAGTCTGTTAATTACTTGTAGACTTAGGCAACCTTTGCTCTGTTGTATAGCTAAAGTTCTCGTTGCCTTGATGGGTTTGAGGATGACAATTCAATTTGAGAAATAATAAAGAGCACACATGAGAGTCATGCCTTGTGCTTCTTCATCTACTTCAGCTGAGAGTATCATGTGCAACATAGCTGTGGTTCAGCTGCTTTCTCTAGACCCTGAAGTGACAAGTGTTTGCTATTAATAAGCACAAAATGCACTTGTAAGCCTACTTATTTGTCAGCTCTGAGGCAAAATGGTGTCAGTGCTGGAAGAAGTGTCTCCCATCAGGCTGTTTCTTTTGGTGCTGCAGCTGCACTGACTCTGGGGGTGTCACTTCTGTTAAAACCTGTAGTGTTGTCAGCTTTGCTGTTCCTAGATGGGCACTAATGAGGACAGTTCCCTCAGTGCTAGAAAAGGCTGAGCTCTGTGTTGCTCAGTTTACAGCAGCAACGGGATACACCTAGAAATCTAAGCCTAATTACTAGAAACTTCGCTCTGCAGCCTTTAGATCTTAAAAACCTTTAGAAAAGGGGGAGAAATGCATTTTTCATGTCAGAAATCAACAACATAACAGAGGTGCTACTCTGACAAAGTGTGAGTAACAGGGTAAGGTGTTGGTGAATCCTGGCTCTGTAAAGGGATCATTGAAAAACTGCTGTTCCTGCCCCAGTTAGGACAGGAACAAAATACTGCTGAACTGCACCGTCTTCTCTCTTCAACAAACATTCTCTTATGCTGAGGTGGAAGGTTGCTAATCTCAGCTTTGTTAGGTGCTATAGGGGGAAAAGTATTTTCACCAGAGCTGGACTTACTAAGATGGTCTCACTGATTGATTTCATTTGGATTTAACATGTGTTTTACTACAGCCTTTCTATCAATGCCTGCTGTCATTGATAAAGGAGCCTGAAAGAGAGAGCCTGTGACGCACTCATGCTCAGTGCAGGCTGCATCCTGAACAGCACATAAGAGCAGGAGAGGATCTCATCCCACCAACAGCTGTAAAACTGTGGGAGAGCAGAGGCACATACACAGGCAGAAGAATTACAAACCTTTCTTCCTACGTAAACTGCTCCAACTTATGCAGACATAAATAAAAGCTTCACAGCTGGAACAGATGTAAAAGTAGCACTCTCACTGATCACTTCTGGATCCCTCTGCTATTACAAGACATCCAAGTACTTTGTCAGGAGGAATTAGGGAGCTTTTTTGTTTCCTTAATGCGTAATCTATCAGACTGGTTTTTACCCCCCTGAGTTAAAGCCGAGTGAGAACTGAGGATGAAGCCTGTGCCTTACCTTGGTATCTTTCTCAAGGGAAAACAATCCCCAACCTTCACAAGCTCTATCGTGTACCACTCAAAAATGGGTTGTTGTGCCACCTCTACAGGATCCTGACTCTGTACCTTCCAGTTCGTGGTGCAAGTTTTGTGGTGATCCTATTTCAAGACTGAAAGGTAAACCCGCATCTGTTATTTCAGAGTTTTGTATATTTACAGCTATCAAAAGCAGCCATAAACAGATGAAGATGCCCAAGTGGAGTACAAATGTACGTAATTTCAGTGTAATCTGAATTGCCCCATTTTAACTAAAATGACCAAGCTGTAAGATCCCAGCCTTACAGTGGACCAAAGTAGGTTTCCTGTCAGTGATACATCTTTGTCATGGTTTAACCCTTTATTCTGAAGGATAGTTACACTGCAATCCAGATTTAAGAAGTCACAACTATTTTGGCACACCACCAACTGGACTTTTAACAACAGTACTCATTGTACATTTATTTTAAATGCTGCCTGAAACTGCTTAAAGGAAAGCAAAAAAGCATTAAGGCAGTACAGTGTTTCACATACATATTTCTGCAACTTAAACAGTTGAATAAATATTTTATCAGTCCTAGTTTTCACAACGGAAGTAACTTCTGGTCACTGTTGTGAAGTCCGAACTTTGCTTGATCTTTCTTTTAGACCCAACAGTTCTGTTCTCAGTTCTCCAGGCTTAGGAGGTATTTCAGGTATGCTCTATTAAAAACAGAGAAAGACATCAGTGTTGTGGCAGAAGAAACACTAAACTCACAAAACAGTAAAGGATCACACACTGTAAGAGCATTATAGCTAAACTGTGATTATACTGCCCTCTTCTTTGAGCAGAGTATAATTCCTACATGCAAAACATCTTAAAAATTATTACCTTTTTGTAATTTGACTTTTATTTTAAAATAGCAAAATATAATTGGGAAAACAAAAAAGAAGGTAAAAGAAAGAATTAAGTTTCATTTAAATGAACAAAGCTGCTTTTTTGCCATTAAAGAAAGTAAGTTTGGTAGAGATGTCTAAAACAGTTGAAGTTTCCACATATACTCTTTCTCTTGGTGACAGAAGAAAATGTCTCACTGCCTCTACCTTCCTGATTTAGAAATTAAGCACTGAAGCTGAAGATGAAATTTAAAAATAAAAAGGTACCAGATGACATGACATTTCAAGAACGAGATACCTCCTCAAAATTCATCCTACTTTAGGGATATAGATAATTTGATCATTCTGAATAAATATGTCTATTTGTCTGTAACGAAGGCTACAGTAGAGACTACTAAAATACATAAATTCTTATGCATCTATCAATGATTTAAGCCTCATTGCTTAAATTTTGATGTGACAGCTCAAGCATGGTAATTTTTTTAAACTTATTTTCCACTTGAAAATAGCACAGTGAATTACAAAAATCAAGAGCAGGAGGGTGAGGGAAAACTTACAAGTCAGGCCTCCAACAGACTAAATCATTAATATTCCTGGTGGGTGGTTTTATTTGAAGTTTATTTCTGTGACTGTAGTTTTGACAGCCTTGCCTGTTGTCATTTCTAAAGTCAACTTTTGATTGTCTTCAAGTACTGAAGGAAACGAAGTCTATTTAAATCTAGCACAGCCCCTTCTCACCACTTTTGAACTCTCTTTTCAAAACCCAGCTTCCTACAGCGGAGACCCCTTTTGAAGGGGGTTACACAGCTTTTATTTTTGGTACCACATCAATAGAGTGGAGGTGGCTCCCCAGAGAAGTCACAGAATCCCAGAATTGTTACGGTTGGAAAGGACCTCTGGAGATCATCCAGTCCAACCCCCCTGCCAAGGCAGGGTCACCTGGAGCAGGTGACACAGGAATGCATCCAAGTGGGTTTGGAATGTCTCCAGAGAGGCAGACTCCCGTGACCTCCCTGGGCAGCCCGTTCCAGTGCTCTGCCAGCCTCAACATGAAGTTCTTCCTCATGTTGAAGGAAAACTTCCTGTGCTTTAGTTTACGGCCATTGCTGCTCATACTGTCGCTGGGCACCACGAAAAGAGTCTGGCACCATCCCCTTGGCACCCGCCTTTGAGATATTTATATGCACTGATGAGAGCCCCTCTCATCCACACTCTCTTCTCTACACCAAACAGGCCCAGCTCCCACAGTCTCTCCTTATAAGAGAGATGCTGCAGACCCTTAATGATCTTTGTAGCCTCCACTGGACCCCCTCCAGTAGCTCCCTGTCTTTCCTGTCCTGAGGAGCCCAGACTGGGGCAGAGCAGGGTCCCGGCTGCCCGGACGGTGGCCCTGCAGAGGCCGATCTCTGTGCACAGCCAGGCCGGACGCCTCCCGGGGGCAAAGCCTCCATCCCGCACACACGCCACCACCGACCGGGCCCCTGCGAGCACTTACAAGGTCCGGCCGGTAGTACCTGTGCACGACCTCGGCCCCCGCGAACATGGCCAGCATGCTGGCGGCCAGCGGCCGCAGGTACGTGGCCAGGCACCCGGCGGGCAAATTTGGGCCGGGTGCGTCGGGGCACTCCGTACTACACCGAACGCGCCCGGACGTGCGGTCATCCCCGCCGCCCACCAGGCTGGAGCGGTCGGGGGTTGGGGCAGGGAGAAAGGTGGAAAAGGTAAGGGGTGTTGGAGGCCCGCCCCTCGCGCTGGTGTGTGTGAGTATCGCGGCAGAGCGCTGTGAGTCGCGACAAACCCCCCGCACCCCCGGGGCACGGGGGGATCTCACACACACACACACACACGGCAAAAGCCCGCCCGGCCCCGCCCTCCGCGCCCATTGCCGGCGCGGGTCAACTGGCGCGGGGCCGCCCGGCAGGTCGTCGGGGCGCGCGAGCGGGGGAGGGCGGGGGCGAGCGGCGACCAGCTGGCGGCGGCGACAAGGACCAGGATACAGGGACAGAGACAGGGCCCAGCCCCGCCCCGCCATGGAGCCCCAGGAGATGGGCAGGTACCCGCGGCCCGCCCCGCGGCCCCGCGCTCAGGGCCTCGCGGGGCGCTGCCGTGGTCCCGCCCTCTTGCTCGCCCACGTCCGCGGGCGGCGGGCCAAGCGTCCGGGTGCGCGGCGCCCTCCCGCCCCTTCCTCGGCACAAAAGGGCGAGCGGGCTGAGCGGGGCTCGTATCTCTTCTCTGGAACGGAGGCGCTGGCCGCTTGGGGTCTGTGCCTGGTACTGCCGTCCGAGGGGGAGCTGAAAATCGTTTAATATTTGGGTTTGTTCCGAGTATTGTTTAATACTTGTTTTGTGAACAAATCTTCTCTACCCTTCTTTTAATTTTTCTTTCATTTTTAGCATAAACTGAATGGGGGGGGGGCGTAGGGCGAGGGAACTGGGAATATTTATTCCCCGTGGAACTGGAAATATTTATTCGAATGTCCCATGACATTTTGTTATGTTTGTTATACATCAGTAACAAAGAATTGTATTTCTGAACCCACGCGCAAGAAATGTGGCCTAAAATGTGTAGGAAACTTAGAGGTAGGGGTAAAAGTTCTCTTTCCTCTCATTAGTAAGTGGTTGGAGGACTTGTTTGTGACATGGTGCGAATTTTCTCTCTATTTAAAGGAAGTTTTATTCCCTTTACAAGAAGGATACTTTATATACTCATAAAATAAGGCCTGTATTACAAGAAGGCATCTGGTCTTCGTTTCACATCTTTGTTACTCACTCTGTTCTACTCTGCATGATTAAGCTTTCATTACTTTATGAGCTGGATTCTGCATGTCTCAGTTGTGTTTCCCAACACAAATCTGAAGATCAGGTTGGTTTGGTTCAGTAGCTGCACAAGTATTTTATATAAAATGGAACTCTTCCTGCAGAGGGGTTAAAGTATTCACAGTACTCTGAAAATCTCCCATGACTTTATTAGGCAACTTCCTTGGGAATCTGACAGACCTACGTTCATATTTATTCTCCTTGATTCAGGACAGGTATTTGGTTCAAAATCAGTGGCTTGATCATAAGAGTGTGGGCTGTTCTGGTATAAATCTGATTTATACAGTGGGATTCTTAAAAATTCATTGTGTAGTAGTGAATGGTCCCTTCTTTTGAGATATTTAGAATTACAGAATCATTTATGTTGGATAAGACCTCTAAGATCATTGAGTCCAACCATTAACCCAGCACTTCCAAGCCCACCACTAAACCATGTCCATAAGTGCCACATCTACACGGCTTTTAAATACTTCAGGGGTGGTGACTCAACCAGTTCCCTGGGCAGCCTGTTCCAGTGCTTAACAACCCCTGGGCAGCCTGTTCCAGTGTTTAACAACCCTTTTCATGAAGAAATTTATCCTAATATCCAATCTAAGCCTCCCCTGGCACGACTTGAGGCCATTTCCTCTTGTCCTGTTGCTTGTTACTTCAGACTGACCCCCACCTGGCTACAACCTCCTTTCATGTAGCTGTAGAGAGTATAAGGTTCCCCCTGAGCATCCTTTTCTCCAGGCTAAACAACTCCAGCTCCCTCAGCTACTCCTCAAGACTTGTGCACTAGACCTTCCCCAGGTCCATTGCCCTTCTCTGAACGCACTCCAGCACCTCAGAGTCCTTCTTGTAGTGAGGGGCCCAAAAATGAACACAGGATTTGAAGTGTCGCCTCACCAGTGCTGAGTACAGGAGGTTGATCACTGCCCTGGTCCTGATACAGGCCAGGATACCATTGGCCTTCTTGGACAAATATGTCTATGTCTAAAAATTATTTGGTGTTTTTGTTAATAGCTTTGAGATGATAAAATTATTTCCTGAAAATTTACTGTTCACAAAATCCTTTCTATGTATTTTTATAGCAGCAGAATCTATGGCCAAGAAAATGGCTGTGTAGGTAGAAAGGAGTGACAGTATAAAGCAGAATTTTGCGTTGGGGTGTGAGGGCTGTATGTGACTAATAAATGTGTGGAGGAAGAAAGCTGTATATGGAAAAATGTCTTCATGCATGGAAGGAAATTGAGTTTTTGTGTATGTGAACACTTCCATGTAGAATAAGTGCAGTATTTTGTGTTGGGATCAAGTGTGTGATAACTGGACAACATCTGCCACACAATTTGTTAAAGCTGTTTAATGATCTGCATAGTAACAAAGGCTGTGTGTGTTCTTCATGCTTTGTAGGCCAGAATGATTCATCCATTCTGGATCTTACCAGATCAAGTAAATGATGCAACATTAAAAAAATCTAAACTTTAGGAAACTTGAAGTCCAAAGAGTTTTAACTCACATGTGTTGTAAATTGCCAATGTGTTTCATAGTTTGCTTTGGAAGTGTGTGCTACAGAGTCTTTTTCCTGAAAAAAAGGGTAAAGCTCTACACTTCACTTACCAGTGTTGTGTTAATTCCACAATTTAGTAATCACAAGAAATGTACTGTTAACTGATACCAGCTCAGCAGCCAAACTGCTTCGCAGATTTGGATAATTTACTCCCTTGTTAATAGAGTCATTGGAGAATATAAGTGTGATACATGCCAGCCTTGATAAAGTTGGATTTTTACGGTCTGTACGGCCCATCACCAAGTTTCTAAGTTGTTGACAAATTATGTCTCTTTCCTCTCCCTCCTAAGATACTACGCATATCTTCAGCAAGCTCAAGCATTTTACTCCTTTCCATTCCATCAGATGATGACTGCAGTGCCCAACATGGAAACGATGGCTGAGCAGCCGACTCTAGAGGGCATTCCAGAGCCAAACATTGCTCAGGAGCCTCCGAAAGGTAGATTGACTGGGCTGTGCTAAGAGAGCTAAAACAGTAGTAATTGATTGGAAAAAAAATATTGCTCTTAAACTGCTTCTTTGGACATATTGGATTTCCTTTTCTTGGTGCTGTCTGAGGAAGTATTGATTAATTGTATTCTTTAAGTAACGTGTTTTAACAGATAATTAAAAAGACAAGAAGTAAACCCAGGTGAATGTATTCAGGTTGTTCAGTCTCACACAATTATCTTGTTCCAGGAAAAGCAAAATTTTGTTTCAATAGATAAATGCATAATTTTTAGCTAATGTCATGGGTTTTAATACTATGTTAGAGAAGGTGGGTTTTAAAAATTCTGAGTTCAAATTTTTTTTTAAAATTTCTACAGAAGAACAATATAATACTGCTTATTTGAAATATTTTTGTTTGCAGCTCATTTAAACAAAATGCAAACAGTGCTGGAAAGTGTACATGACACAAGTTTTGTACTCTCTGTACTTGTATGTTGCCTTTCTTTTCCCCCCTTAGGATTTTGTACACTTAGTCTTTGCAGTAGCTACGCCAAGGGGACATCTGTTGTTCTGTTACTGTGCTCACTCTTAGGACATAAAAAAGCAGTGATTTCTGCTATGCCTGAATTCTGATTCAGTAGCCAATACTCACACATAGAGTTTCACCTTACTTTAATGGATACAGCTCAGAGCTCTGTGTACCAAGGAGACTTATCAGCCAGTTCATGCAATGACATTGCTTGATAACCATTTTTTTTTGTTAAAGTTGTAATGCGTGGCCAGATAAAATCGTAGGAGGAAAACCTCCAGTTTAAAATAGTTGTGACTGCTCAATTCTGTCACAGTATTATTCATTTCAGTTAGGCTGCATCTCAAGTGCTGTGTAGTCAGTCTTCTTTTGCAGTTTTAGTATTGGATAACATAGTGTCACTGTGAGCACCCTGTTTGACTGCACTTGCAAGTATTTTTGGACAGCTGTGATCCTCTGTTAGGAAGCTGTTCCCTAGTGTTGTTTTTTGCAAGAACTGTAAGTTGAGTAGGGCCTTCAAAGGTGGGCATGGAATATTTATCAAATGTCTATGAAATTTACAGGAACATATATGAAAGACAAAGATTTGGAGTCCAGCTACTGCTGTGGTGAAAATAGTAAGATTTCTAGGATTATCCTCTGAAAGGCTGCCCTGGCATTGTTCATCTTTCATGACAGTGTCTGGTTGGTAGGTACCTGATCAGTGTGAGAGTTAGAAAAACATTATCCTGCTTCATTTAAAATACTCGGACTGCTCTGAGTTGGAGCGTTATGTGGATTATGCTGTCACATGAAAAACCTTCTAACTCTTCAAGGGGTAGAAAAAAGCTATTTATGTGGCTCGCCAAGTCTAGACCCTTCTGTTCTCTTTATTGCAACTAGACTAGAGCTTGAGTACTGTTACTTAAAGCTTCCCTAAACAGTTGCTGCAGTGATGCCCTGGGAATTTCACATGATTTTTGTTTTCCCTTTTGTTTACACAGCTTTCTTACAAGAATAGCTCCAAAAAAGTTTGCAGACTTAGGGCAGTGTCTGGGTATCTACCATAGTTATTTTTTATCTGAGGGAGATTTTCATCTATGAATTTTTGAAAATAAGATGAAGTCTCAGTTTTAAAGTAATAGATTACTTTGTCTATTTAGCAGCTGATTGCTGCTAGATATGTTTTCATATTTTTCAAGTTGTGTACTACAGCTTGACATTATTAATGAACGCAGAGATAGAGAGGACTCTCTGGGTAGTCATGTCATGGCTAGTACCTGTGCTGCTTGAATCTCTAAATTTTAAGAGCCAGAAGATGAGGAAGCTTCAGATGAGTGAACAGTGACTACTTCATGTTGGCATTTTGTAAATAAAAATGAATGTTTGGTGTCACTCAGATTGAGATGCTGCATTACCTTGCTGAATGCTGCCCTGGACAGTATCTGTTCTGGAAGCAGTGTGTGAATGTATGTGAATGCAGCAGTGTGTGCATAGCTTCTGTAGCATTCAGCCTCTGTGCTTGTGTTCCTGACAAGTTCATACCTGACACTGTGGGTAATCCTTGAACCCTTTTGTTTTTGACGTACAGTTTGTTTCTTCAAGATGTTATGTCACCTGTAACATTCAGCTTTCATATTTAGAAGCTGAAGGGTGGATAGTTGACTAGAACTTATTGTGACATTCTTTGGAACCTAAGCTTTGATGCTCTGGCATATCCTCCAAAAGAAATGAAACTGTTTCCAAAGGACTGTGGCATAAAACATGTAAACAACGTAACCTAATCATGGGGTTACTCTTGGTTTGTATCCCAAGTCAGCGTAGTTGTCTGAGAGTAGTGTGTTTGTGTGTGGTACAGAGACACCTAAGCTAGCTCTGTGTTGAGCCTGCAAAACCGAGATTCATCTGGTAATTTTTTTAATTAGTGAATTTTGAAGGTAAACTTATCTTTTTGTATCTATACATTTAGCTGAGTCTTTCTGACACTGCAACATTAGAAATGTACAAAAGGAATATTTGCTTTGTGTTTCAGAAGTTAAGAAAGGAGGAAGGAAAAGAAAAGCCAAAGCAACTGAGCCAAAGCAACCCAAAAAGCCTGCTGCTAAAAAAGAAAAAACAGCCAAGTCAAAAGGCAAACAAGAAAAGATCACAGATACTTTTAAAGTCAAAAGGAAAGTGGATCGTTTTAATGGTGTATCTGAAGCTGAACTTCTGACCAAGACCTTGCCTGATATTTTGACCTTTGATCTGGACATTGTAATAGTAAGTAACTCAGAGTTACAAGATTAGGTAGAAAAGTCTTGTACTCGTTATGATTTACATTCCTTCTGCTGACTTATCTGTATTGCTTATATGGCAAGATCTTGCAAGATAAAGTATATAAACTGTTTCCTGTGTGTAGAGCTGCTTTGCCTTTTCTGTTAAAAGCCATAGTAGCATAGTCCTAATTTCTGAGAAGTCAACGGTTTAGGTATGATACAGAGTCGTGAGAGACCGTTACTCAATGCTTTGTTTACTGGAAGCTCTGCACACTGTGAGCTGCCCTTTTGACACTGCACTGCTAAATGAGGCACTGCTGTAAAATTGTCAGGTTTTTTAAATGATGGAAGGTGCCATTAACACAGTTTTGTTTGTTGACAGTAACTTAGAGAGAATTGAATCAAGCATCCTTACTGTAACTTGATTAAATTGCTGACTACAAGCCATGTTCTCATTGTTCAAATGGACTGATATCTTTCCAGATTGGCATAAACCCTGGCCTGATGGCAGCTTACAAAGGACATCATTACCCGGGACCTGGAAACCATTTTTGTACGTTTTCATTTTCCTTTCTGCTTTTAGAATTTGCAGAACTTTGTTAGAATTTGTGGTATTTTAATTAAGCTGGTTTGGGTTTTGTTTTTCTCCTGATTTTCTTTTGTTTTGGATGCAGAGAGGGATTTTGCTTTTAACCATCCAAGAGTGATTTAAATCCCATAAGTAGTTCTGTCAAATACTGCACATAAAAAGGAATAAAAGAGAAATAATCAGTGACTTTAGATGCAGGTTTAGAATTGTCAGGCAAACACACCGTTACCAAATACCTTATTGTTGTATTAGGGTGCAGCTTAAGGAATAAAAATTAAATCTCTAGTACTTCAATTATCAAGGGTGAGTCAATAAGCATCAATTTCTGATGTAAAATAAAACTACAAGCATTATCCAAAAAATGTTTCTCACTAAGCCCTCTTCTGTTTGCATTTATTCATCCATCTCTTCTTTAGAAGCTTTCTAAGTGATGAAAAAGCAAAGCCAGTTGCCATTTCCCAGCAGACATGTGCATCTGGCATACCTGATTCTCCAGGCAGATGTTTTGTCCTAAATATTTTTCCATTTTCAGTATAGCATTTGCTGCATCATGTTCTCATAAAAAAAGATCCTACCTGAACTCTGAAATGCTCAGTTCTGCATATAGGAGCCGTGGTGGTGGGAGGGAGCTCCACGTGGGCTAATTGCAGCCTTTTGATATTCCAGTCAAAACATTCCTAGTGCCCAGCAGACCCAAAAGCAGGCTTGGGTATTTCTCTAGTGTTCTGCAGCCTGGTCAGACTGATCACCTCCTTTACTGAGATCAGGCCAGCTATGCATGCTCTGGCAAATCCAGGTGTTTGTAACCTTCCCAAATCATTGGGAACTACCTGGCGTGAGTTTGTGCTGGCACTGCACATCACCCAAACTCGACTTTTATGTGCTAAATATGAATGTGAGATGTCAGCAGTTCTGTCCCAGAGGCTCAGGGCAAGGAGGAGCAATGGCAAGCTTGTAAAAGAAAGCTGACACATTGTATTTGCCACATTCTTTCCCACGGAATCCATATTGATCACATTCGCTCCCTGCTTAAGTGAGTCACAAAATCTAAAGCTCTGTACTGAACTTTTAGGATAAAAGACTGGTTTCCATACACAGGATCATGATGAGGAATTCCTGTTCACTAGGGCTTTTCTGTTCTCTTGCAGTAGATAAAGTAATAATCGTTATTTTAAACTTTTCTAGATAGGGCAATAATCTTCCCAAATTAACTGATGCTTTGTTAAAATAGATTCTTCCTTTAGCATTCCAGTATTCTGACAGTTGAGTTTTTTCCATTGTGCTTTCTTTTTCTTAGAAATAGGCAAATATGTATCTACCTTCTTACTTCACAGGGAAGTGTCTGTTCATGTCTGGTCTAAGTAATGAACAGCTGAACCATATGGATGACCACACTTTGCCACATAAATATGGGATTGGATTTACAAACATGGTTGAAAGGACAACACCTGGAAGCAAAGACCTCTCCAGGTAGGGCAGCAAGGGGGAATATATCATGCTTGTTAATGAATTAATAGTTGTGATTATAATTTTGAGTACCTTCTCTTTCAGCAAAGAGATTCGGGAAGGAGGGCGAATTCTGATGCAGAAGCTACAAAAATATAAACCTCGTATAGCAGTTTTCAATGGAAAATGTGAGAACCTTTTAAATTAATTTGTTCTGTCGATAGCTTTTTTTTTTTTCTTCACACTTATCCTATCTTTTTTTTTATTTTAGGTATTTATGAAATTTTTAGTAGAGAAGTTTTCGGAATTAAAGTTAAGAACTTGGAATTTGGACTGCAGCCCCACAAAGTGCCAGATACAGAAACTGTGAGTATTGAGACTAAGAAACAAAACCAGGGCATTCCATTTAAAAACTAACAAAATCTCAGGACTTGCATACACTTCTGACAATGAACCAAGTACATTCTGATAATGACCAAAGTACAACAGGTGTGAAAGTCTTTTACCTAAACAGAGAAAGGGGGATAGTGCAATTTTCGGACACATCTTTCATGCAGCTTCTTCAGACTTGCAGATTTTATTTGGGAAATGGTGTATTATGATTAGTTGGTTAGTGCATTCTCTGACAACTGTCTAAAGTACGAATAATACATGCATGCTTTTGTGATAACTTTAATCTGATTCCCTGTGTCCAATTTGCTGGATATTTGTATTACTGAACTTTAATACTGAACATGACCATGGTGGTGGTAGTGCCACTGTGGGGCAGAAAGAACAGCAAGTCCATCATCACTGTGCCATTACACACAACCACTACAGCATTACAGGAGCTGGGCATGCCCAAGCACTGCCATCAGTCTGGACCTCCTTGGGCTGATTTGCAGTTTGAAGTTCAATTGGGTACTGAAGATAAAACAAACAATTTGATGAAGAGTGCATTAGTCACAGACATCTAGTGCTGGAAAGTATCTCAATACACCAGCTATTTATCATCAGAAATAGGTTTGTTTAACATGTTCTTATAAACAGGTTAGGGCAAAGGCAATTACACTACCTGCCAAGGTAGCTTATTCTAAAGCTTCATTACCTTGTCAGTTCAAAAGTTTGGATTGTTTTTCTTCTTATTTCTGTCCCAAATTACCAGTGCAGCAAGTTTAAGCTGTCTTTCTCTAAAGGTGAAGTGTTGCCATTAGAGCCTGAAGAACTGTTGTTGATAAAGTGCTTGCTTTCTTAAGTAGCTCTTAAAGACTTCTGCGGCAGATGTATTTGTAAGAAAGATAAATAATCCCCTTTACTGGTACTTGTTCGTAAATACTGCACGGCGATAAAAGGATTGAACAGTTTGTTTTTGCTCAACTAACTTGATGTCTTTAGTTAAGGCTGTTGGCAGAGGCAGAGACACTTGAGTTGGCTCCAACCATACTGACTAACTGCAGTTTCACACCCTGGCATGTGTGCTGTGGATGCTCTTGGCCCAGAAGCCAAGCTAATTAACCCGTGGTGCCTCCCTCACTGGTGTGGGCTGTTTGCATGCTGCCACGTACTCCTCTGTGGACTCTGGCTCAAGGCTCTGCTTGCTCAGGGAGCTCTGCAGTGTGCTCCACTCTCTGGCACACACTGCAAATTTCTTGTACCACACACTGGTACTGCTTCTCCTGCAGCACATAAATAACTGGTGAAAATTGTCCTCACTTTGGCAGCTGATAATTGGCCCCTCTCTTCAGGGCAAGACAGCTGGATGGACAAGAAAAACTAAAGACTCCTTTTAGCCCCTTCCACGACCACCTCTGGCATTAGTTGAAGTTTGTACAGTGGGCTTAACTGTTAAGTTGTTCTCAATGCACTAAATATTAACTCATAGCTCAATAATGCTGTTTTTCTTGCTCTTTGTCTCAAGCTCTGCTACGTTATGCCATCGTCCAGTGCAAGATGTGCTCAGTTTCCCCGGGCACAAGATAAAGTTCATTATTACATAAAGCTGAAAGACTTAAGGGACCAACTGAAAGGCATCACACCAAACACAGATGTGCAGGAGGTGCAGTATACATTCGACTTGCAACTTGCACAAGGTACAGTGCTTATTTTGTTAACCCTTTATTAAAATGCAGTGTAGTGTACAAGACAACTAGAAGTTTCCCAAGCAAGAAAGAAATAAAGAATTTAATGGGGGATGGGGGGGAGGGAGGCAGATGTGCCATCTGTGTTGTGTAGGATTACAGATTCCACTCTCTTTATAGTACAACCTAAATTCTATAAGGAGAGCAGGGGATTATCTTGTAGAATTTGTGGCTGTTTTTCAAGTGTTTTCTGATAAAAGTGCTCTTCGATAATATTTGTTCTAAATATTAATACTTGAGGTGTTCTGTTTCTGCAGAGGATGCTAAAAAGATGGCTGTCAAAGAAGAAAAATATGACCCAGGCTATGAAGCAGCATATGGAGGAGCTTACTGTGATCGTGCACCGTATGACAGTGAGCAGTGCAGCTTCTCTTCCAATGGAACGGGTAAAGTGCAGCGCTCTGGGCGTTCGGGCTGTGAACCACTGCTTGGGAACAAGGACTCAGGGGTGTCAGCTGCATTTTGTAAACAGTGGGATTTTTGTTTTGTTTCAGCGGGAAGCAATCCACAGCACTGCGAGGGGTCGTCCTTCGGTGTAGTTCCTAATGGACAATGGATGACACAGTCCTTTGCAGACCAGATTCCAGAGTTCAGTGCCGGTGTGACACAGGAAGAGGAGGGAAGCAGCGTGTAGGGGCTGTTCCTTCTCAGCTATGCATCCATGCTGCAGTTTTAATGCAGTGACCAAGATTGGTACCTCGGTTCTCCAACTGAAGCATTTTAATAGTATTTTATCTCCCCTAGTTATTTTATTATAGTCCAAAGTAAGTGTGTGGTAGGCTGAAATCAATGAACTAGATGATTTTAAGGAACTGTTCAAACTTTTTTTAAAAAAGTTAACCCTTTTTTGTATATGAGTTTTATATTTAATGTATGCCATTTCTTGCAGTTTTTGACAAATTGCTTTCTCATTTGTGAAGATTTCTTTTGGGCGTTAATTTTATTTCATGAATTGTAATGTAGTAGTAACAGCAGCAGTATACTTCTTACTGATGCCTCAATATTTGGATATCTCACAATCCTTTTATATCCAGAGGGGAAAATGGGAAGTGTACCCTTAACTTATGTGAAGCGATATTTTTAATCAGGCACAGTTAAGGAAATTGTGCTTTTTAACTCTGCCTTTTACCTTCTTAAAAAGTGCAGAAAGTTGCACTCTGCAGCTGTGAGTACTGAGTATTTTCTGGGTGGGAAGAGAGAGCTTGGTGAGTGGACCATATTCAGGATTAAGGGAGTGAAGACATCCTCTCAAGTCACAACACTGGGGAGAAAAATTTGTGTCACACAGGACAGGGCCTAAATATTCTAGCTGAGCTGGCTTACGGTAAGATATCCCTACCACTCTTATCTCTTTCCCTCTGAAATTCCAATGTAAGGAACTGGAATTCCTTGAAAAAAGCCCCAAAACAAACAACAGTGGTGGTTCTTCAATTCTGTAGCATTCAAACTCTGTCGTTACTGTGTGATTAGTCTCTTCACATGACCTTCAGCAGTAGACAACCCCTTCGAACAGATTACATGTCAGGGAATTGAAAGGCTGCATTCTCTGTAAAAATCACATACAGCTACATTGTTTACATCATGTACAATTAGCACAGGGTGAAAAGAGTTTGCAATTTAGCAGGTTTTAACATTCCGTTCTCTTCAATCTGTAGAGGGTGGTCTTCTTATTCCTCTTACAAGCAAAAAATACTGAGTTAAATATAGGAGCAGCTGTTCCATGAATAAGAAGTTGGCTGTAGAAACTACAGCTCTCTTCTGAGGAACTTGCCTAAATGATATACATTTTTGACCAATATTAGTTACTGAGAAAGAAACGAGATTCCATCCTGGTGCTTAACCATTGTCTTCTTTTCCTCCTTTATCATGTGAGGAAGAAATGAAGTAAAAGCAATAAGCTGATCAAAACACTACAGTTTTGATGATCTTATAATAGTTGGTGCTTCACATACTTGAAAAACAGATACAAACAGTATCTCCACACTCCGTGCGGGCCAGAGAGTCCTGTAGGGTGTGATTTATCCTTTCTTCACAGCCAGCAACGGTTGTCAGTTGTGTGTAACTAGTTAGTGTAGGTTCTAATCTTGCTATAACAGCTCTCACTGAGATCACACACTGTCAACCTGTTATGAGGCAGGCATGATGTTTACAGTTTTTTCCCAAATTATGTGGCTTAATTCTGAGCGTCTTAAATCAAGAAAGTGTGCATTATGATTCTGATTGTGTTTATTAGCTTCAGCATAAAGCTATTCTGTATATTGTCAGAAAGGTATAGGACTTGTCTGTTATTTAAAGTGTACTGTATCATGTATTGCTGTTTACATGGGTGTTTTCCTGCAGGTGCTCAAAGTATCTTGCATCAGGGATTTGTTACAATTCAATTATTTTATTTTCAACAAAATTGGAAGCATGGAATTAGCACTGCTGAGTATGTAGCACAGTAGGATTTAACTCCTGAAAGGCTATCCTCTTTGAGTGGAAGGGAAAGGTATCTTCTTTAAAGGAGTCACTGGATACAAAATACAGTTAAGTCTACAAGGACCGTTTCACTAAATACTGCAATTCTATGTGTCCTCCCTCAGAACTGGTGCTCTTTTTGTTACAGTAATACAGAAGTTCTTAATCTGTCTTAAATCTATCCATGTTTCACAATAAAATCAGGAATTGTACTGCAGTGTCTTGGAATGTGCTTTCACATGTTGCAAGCAAAGGTCTAAGTGCACTACAGGATGTGTCATACGCAGAAACGCCTCAAAACAGTCACCACTCAACACAACTCTACTCAGTAACATATGCCTAAGATCTCAATGTGGGCCAGACAACTAAAGACACCTTGTGTGTAATACTGCAGGTATCTGCTGGGTAGGTCTTTCTACCAGAAGACATTGGAGTCTTATTTATAAAGACCTTAAATTAAAGTACACTGTCTGGCACCGAGTTTTACCTCTGTAAATATATAATGAAAATACTTCACTGTCAAGTAAACCTAGTTCCTCACCTCACATGAAAGTCAGGATAATCTGAACCATGTAATGGTCACTCCAGCCTCCCTCTCAAGCCCTAAGCACACAAAAGTGATGGTCAGTTATTCATATATTTAACAAATACTTCGTTTTCTAGAATCAGTTAATCATATTCCTCATATGCTGCGTCTCAAACTATTACATGCATCCAATACACTATGTTTGGCAGTATTTAAGTTGTTTCAGTATCAGCTATCAGGACGAGTTAATTTGAACTTCCCTGAAGGGTCAGGAATAAACCAGTTTTCCCACAGATCAGTGTGGACACTGGGATAGTCCCAAGGTTTGTATCTCCCATTCCAGTGAAGTAATTTAGCTTCTTGAAGAAATTGCTCTGAGTAACGGGCATCAGGACTCCAACCTGCATGGGTAGATAAAAAAAAAAATAATTTAAAAATCCAGTTTTTAATAAAGGAAAACACTACAGAGTGAGTTAAATTCAAGCGATTTTTTTTTCAGAAGTCTTCTTAGTATGGTTTCATCAGATAGTTGTATGATAGAGTAGCTTTTTTTTAGCTTGATGCCTTTAATGCTGCATCAGCAAAAAAATTTCAGCAAGTTTCTTCTCTCAACATTTTTATCATCCTGGCATAGCTGGGATTAAAAACAAAATCTATTCATTTTACCACACCAGACATTATGTTTTTCCTAGGATAATTCACTCCTAGGTGAAAGGTAACTGCATCCTCCAGAATGCTGACAACAAATGCTGCCCAGCCTCCCATATTCTTCCAACTGCACCAAGAAAAAACTGACTTTTTTCAGTCTGACTATATGCAGATCTTTCACATATTCTTTCATAGCTGATGGCAGTATAGGTTAGCTGGTCTTTAAACATGTAACTTTGCCCTTGGTATTTGGGTCTTTTTCCTTTTTTCATGCAATTTCATAACTATTAGGTGTTTGGGGTTTTTGCAGGGATGCAAATATGTTGTTTGCTTGACCTGTTAGGATACTTGCATCCAACTCCCACATTCTGCCCTGCCCTGAAGAAAGCAGGACTCATGAGCCTTGAGGGAAGTGGGGATTATGTGTTGTGGATCTGAGACAAAAAGTAATGCCTGAGGTACAGTAATGTAAGGTCCTGCATTGGGATCTTACAAACCACTCACTTTAGTTCCAACTTGGCAACAGTGAGAAGTTAAACTTACCAAGATGCCTTATGTGCCACATAGGATTAATAGAGGAATACTTTCCATGAAATACAATCAGCATTGGAGAGGTTGCCACGCCTCCCCCAAGGGTGCTGCTGTAGAGGTTTTCCCTGCAAAGGGAAAAATAAGAGAGTATGTTCAAAACCTCAAAGAATTTTTAGCACAAAAGGCAGAAGATCAAAAAATAAGTATTCTGGCAAAATTCAAAATCATTTTGAATCAGTTTTCAGCAGACTCCTTCTTTATGCTGTTAATTGATTATATTTGTAACTCCAATACCCACAGAGTAAATTGTTGCTACCAAGAAAAATGGGAGTCAAACCCACCATGAAGCCAGTTTCTTCTACACACAGCCAGTAGTCCTCAATAATGACAAAGTTAACTGTAGAAAAGAAAGCTGTTAAAGGAATCAAACATAATTTAGCCTGGTTTCTTAAGAAAATGTACCTATTTCCATGTTTTCCATTCCCTTTCTTTCCCTTTTCCCCTCCCTCAGCTTTTACACCTCTGGTTGGATTTTGTCAAAGCCTAGTTAGCATCAATTAGAATATTAGTTTCCTATGGATTTTGTGGTAAATCCAGGGCTAGATCAAGCCTAATCATGGTAAGGGGAGGCATTAGTAGATGGCAGCCAGATGTCTGTCCACATGTGCTGATGGCCCTGTGACCAGTTGGCACATGGGCAAAGCCACCCCACCTATGGGACACTGTGCCACCCACCTAGTCCAGTGGGGAGGAAACCTGGGAAGTACAGAGAGGTGCTGAAAGGCCACAGAACAAAAAAATCATAACCTCCCCTCAAAACTGAGTTTCAATTGATAAGCAATTTTTTTTCACTGCCATTTCAAAATCCAGCTAAAAGGAGCATGAATTTGTTATTAAGGCAGAAAATCAACTTTATAGATCAAATTTGCAGTAATATGGAGTTCTCACTCTTAAAATCTCTTTTAAAGCACAGCAATAGCTTGTCAGGATATGTTACATAAGCAGAGTAAGAGAAAAATATTCGGCTTCTCAGTCATTCACATACTTCTCATTTGTGTCCCCCATCTGTTCATTTCTAAAACTAACAAGTAATGGACACAGCCCAACAGCACAAACCATTCAGTGGCAGTTTAGCCTTACTAAACTGAAATTCAGTCCTTTGCAGAGTCAAGTTTTCAAATACAGGTTAACAGGGAACTAATGTAAATAACGAATGGTGCTTGTTTCACTGTGTTATGACTTTTTCATGGTCAATAACATAAAGATATCTTTCATGTCAAATTTCCTTCAACTAGAGAAAAAGAAGTCTTTTCTACTGGTATTAAAAAAAAAAAAAGGTGGTGTCCAATTACAGTTTGGCTGATGCTACAATAGGAGAGTCTCCACATAAACAAGGAAAGATTCCTCCTTCTTTCAGCCAGCCTCAGGAAGGGAAGATCATTAAGTGGCTTGATCCCAAGTGAAGTTGGTCACCCAAAATGAGAACCACATGTTCTCAGTGTCCCTCAGGATTATGTGTGGTTTGTCATTAAACACAAGACTAAAATTCCAGCTGGTCATTTCCTGGTACAAAATTGGTCAGACTTAAACAGATAGAAATGCTGAAACAGGAGTCAAAAGAAAGACTGCCTGGAGTTGAAAAAAACTTTTAAGAGCTTTTAAACAGAAAATAAAACTGTAAACCAAGTATGAAAAGTAAAGTGCAAAGCTAGATTTCTACACATACTCTACATTTCTTTGCATCCACTTTTCCAACTGCTTCGTAATCCGCTGATGTTTCCATTCAGTCATGTTAGCAACAATTACTCCAGGATTAAAGGAACAGGTGCTGGGGCTGATGCCAAGATCTCTGATGGCTTGCTTTCTGTAGTCCAGGAATCCCATGTATGTGTTCTAAGAAATAAAAAACTATGTTTATCCCCTATGAATCTTTTTAAAGATGTGTACATTCATCTCTCTATCACTGAGAGGGAGACTAAACAGGCACTCCCAAAGCTGAATTTCTAGATGGTGGTTATGTGTAGTGATTTCCATATGACACAAGGCTGAAAGGCAGGATACTTCCAGATACTAAATTAGTTTTTCCACAGTATGGTACAGTGGAAGTTTGATAAGGCTCTTCCCTCACCACATCTTTGTTTTTCAGTAGCTCACACCAAATATGCAGCATCACACTTCTGCAGCCGTAATACTAGAGGGATGCCCTGAGAATTCTGGGAAACTCAGCCCAGGAGTTAGTCTTTAAATTGTTTTCCTAGGTTTCATTCCCAATGTGACTAATACAAATATCACACATTCTGTCTTCACTAGATGTTCTATAAATGCTCACTATCTACTGATAGCAAAATACCAAACATAATTTAGTAGAATCCAAAGAACAAGATATATTTAAATTATTACAGGAAACAACTCTGCACAGCACTACAGAGTTACTACAAAAAGTTCTTAATTACTGGTAAAACTATTACGAAAGTAAATATATATATATATATATATATAAAACTTTCACTTTGGGAAATACATATGAAATCTTCTTACACTTATGAGTAAACAAATTCATTATTAGAATTCCAGAATGGCATCTTACCTGCATCCCTACACTTCTAATCATTTCATGTGTAGAAGGCAGATCACAATCATCTGAAAAAGCTGCAGCATGTCCAGGAGCCAACTTAGTATCATAGAGTTCCTGGATGTCACCTGATTACAGAAAGGTCAAAAGCATAAAACAACAACACCTACTGCATTGCTACAGGGTTGATAGGATAACATCCCTTCTCATACATCTTACTTATAAACACACCAGTTTTCAGGGATAGCCCAGATATTGATAAAGGCTGAATTTTGTAATATGGGACAATTCTTAAATTTCAGTCCTGTACCTGGATGTCTAAGGTCTATCTTTAAATATTATCACTGGTATTCAATACATTCATATTCTGGTTTGAGTGTCCAAAATCACTTACAGCAGAAGCTGATTACACTGTTAAGAAGCCTGGTTACAAAATTCTGTATTCACAGAGCTTGCCTTTGGAGAGGGAGAGCACAGGCAATTTTTCTGATCCTCTTCAAGTCCTACAAAGGTGCCACTTCAATCTCTTGCACAGGATCAGGTTTTTCCTGGTATTATTGCATTTATACCTCCTTGTAAGATACCTAGGTTCCCAGCAATGGCTAGTAGAAATGTGCCTGTCACTCCTGATCATCCCTGCTGGCTTCACAGACCATCCAGCTCCTTTCTGGTGGAGAGAAATAACGTAATGCCCGGCACCTCACTCATCACCTGACTGGCAGGTACCCACAGTGTGCCAGAACAGTTTCAGGGCAGGTGGGAAGCACAGCAATTGAGTGAGCCTGCACCCAAACTCCTACAGCTACCAGTTCTGCTGCTGGGCATGGGTTGGTCACTGTTAAGGTGAATTATCTTGGAAGGCCATGTCCCAGTAGCCTGAGGTGAGCTCATTAAAAGACAAGTAACCAAAAACATTCCCCATACTGCCAACACTGGAACTAGCATTTCTGAAATAAACAGAGATTATGTATTTGTCTGAACTCACCAGGTGGCTGGAAACTCATGTCCCACCAAAAATAGAATTTGAATTAGTAGGACACTTAATTGTTGAAGATCAGCATGCCTTGCTAAGTGTTTTCTCATTATTCTAAACAGCTGATGCTTTTCTCTTGAGAAGCAAAAACAAGCGAAAAAAAAATCAAAGCAAAGAATTCTGGGCCGACACCCCAAGTTCAGTATGTTTCATTCTTACTGCTTTGCTGAAAGCAACAACCAACAAATAAATGATCCCAAAGTTCAGTCCCATTCTCTCTCTATCCCATGAGAAGCCTCATTCACTCCCATTGCAGAGACATCTGAGAGAGCACAGTCTCAAATTACAGCTAAGACACAGGGAGTAGCTGCCTGGACAGGCTCTCTTCCTCCACCTCACTCCCACATGTCCATCTTTATTCCCTTCTTGTGGGCCCTATGATTGTGTGGCCAAAGGGTGAACAAGACAGGCTGACTGAAACAAAGGGGAAAAAAAAAGACTTAAAAAAAAAAAAAAAAGAAGAGTTTGGTTTCTTCTTTTTTTGCATTTTGTACTGCTAGTCTTCTGCCAGGTCAACCAGCTGAATCAGATTCTTCTGCAGCTGCACAACTGCAGATACGACATTAAGTAACAGGAGCTGCCTGGGGGCAGGAGAGGCCACTTGGTCAGCAGCAGCCAACCATGAGCTGTAATGAGAAACTGCACCTTTATCCTGCAGCTCCACAAACACCATCAGCTGACATAAACTGACACCTCTAGTGAAAGAGAAAGCTCTATCTCTCCTCCTCCAGCCACGCTGCCTTGACTGCTACCAGGGGGCCAATTAAGGCTGAAAGTAATCCCGTTCCTGGTGAACCCCGGTGCGGGTGCAGGGTGGGGTGCAGAGGAAGTGGTGGGCTCAGCTTGAACCACTCATGAAACTGGAGTCTAAATGAAGATTTTCAGAACTTTTCGAAGAGTTAAATATTGCTGTTGTCCATTGATAACAGAACAACAAAAAGCAGAGAAACACCCATGTTTAAGAACTGTGATACGAAGTCTATTGCAAATTAAAACAAGAAAGGCAGAGTGGCTTAGTCGTCTTTTATAAAGCAACACTTTAAGTGCAGATGTTCTGAAATCTGTCTCTCAAGAGGCAAAATTAGAAAAAGGTGTAGAAAAGGAGTGGAGAATTATACTTTTGTCATGTGTAAATTCAGTGGTCTTAATGTTCTTACAGCAAAGACTAATTTAGGGCAACAAGTTTTTTGTAGTTATACTCAGTCCTTTCCAAAGAAAATTTTCATTGGAACATTCCTTTAATGTTTAATGAGAACAGGTAAAATGGTTTTGTTGCCCCTGTGGCCTGGCTAGGACAGAATTCATTTTCTTCATAGCAGCTCATATGGTGCTGAGATTTAGATTTTTAGCACACTCATGTTCTGGCCTTCCCTGTTCCTCATTCTGCCCCCCTCAGTGAATAGGTTGGTGGGTGCACAAGAGGTCAGGAGGGAACACAACTGGGCAGATGATCTGAACTGCCTAAAGAGCTATTCCATGCCACACAATGCCATGCTCAGCAAGAAAAGGGGAAAGAGGGCATCTGGGGTGGGTAAGGAGAGAAGAGGTGTAGGTAGCCAGCTTGTGCTTGGGAACTGGCTGGGCAGGGATTGCCCATCTAAGGGGCTAGTTTTCTTCTCTTCCCTCTTATTCCACTTATCCTTTGCTTATTAAACAATTATTTGTTTGATTGATTTATCTTGACCCTTTTCTCTTCCTCCATCCCACTGGGGGTGGGGAGAAAGTGAGTGAGCAGCTGTGTGGTGCTTAGCTGCCCACCAGGGTTAAAGCAAAACACCCTGACCAAAAAAGTGTTATAAAATAACAAGAAAATGTGATTATACAAGGGAGAACAACAACTCTAAACAGAAAAAAAAAAAACCCTACTGGGAAACAGAACTTAAAAAAACCACTGTTGTTCCTCTGATTAGATTACTTTTTATGATAAGGAAAAAAACTTTTTTTCAGGATTGGAATATCTTCTAACTGTTCCCATTTGTTTGGGAACTCTCAGATCTTTGATCATGACTCTGCAAATTGCTTTGGATTCTGAGCTGAAGATGCTCAAATCATATTTTGAGTGTTTGGAATTTTAATCCTCTTATTTGAGTTAATTCCTTTTGCTCTCGAGAACAGCAATTCTGGATAAGGAATTGGTAGCATTTGGGGGAATTCAAATACTAGCAGGAAATGCATGTCACATACTTAATAAATATTGCAGCACCTGAGTGAAATCCATTGTATCATTCAGGAATTGACCAGAATCAATTACAATGAAACCCACATACAATTTCAATCACAATTATTCAAAACATATGCAGATAAGTTCTTCTTCAGACTTTCATTTAGATAAATAGATTATTTGTAGTTCCCCTAAGTTCAACACTCCTAGCAGCTGCCTTAGTTTCCATTATATCTCATATTTCCAAATGACCATAAAAGCTGCAATAACTTTAGTTTTAATTCTGCTAGAAACTGCTTTTTAGATGACAGCTTACCTTGAACAATAACATCATCATCCAAATATATTACTTTCTCATGTTTCTGGATAAGCAAAGGAAGATAAAATCGAACAAAGTTCAGCTATTAAACAGGAAAAAAAAAAGTTAAAGACTAAATGGTAAAGTTGTTTAATGTACTTGTCTCACACTTCTGTCTCTATTAACAGTCAGTTTTAATATCTCTTAACTGAGCACTAGCCAGTGATCATTTTTTTCCTCCCCCCAGCTTTACTAGTGTCCTGAACCCGTTGTTATTGTTACCGTTATCATTATTATCAATCCATATTTATTTGCCATGGCCCAAACCAAACAGCCCAAAACAGTAGCACTCATTGCATGAGAAGTGTGCAACATCTCCTGTTTGTGCTGACTGCCAGTCCAACTAATATCATCTCATGGCCATTAGCTCTTACATGTGAAGAGAGTGAGCAACCATCCTCCCCTCAGCCCTTCACACCACTCCATTCTCTAGACCGCTACCGTTTTCATGCTAAAAGTCCACTATTTCCAGGCTGAACAGTTTTAACCCGCTGATTCCCTGCATGAAATCTTTTCCATATATTAGAAATGTCAAAGGCTCAGAGCAGGCCAGTGTGAACAAACATTCTGGACAAACTCAAACATTTTCTGGTGGTGCTACATCTTTTTCAGTTAAGGGGACGAAGACTGCACACAGTATTTAGGGTGAGAGAAAACTGTGGATTTGCATTGTGGCAAACTGATGTTCTCTATTTTGATCCTTACACTTTTTCTAATAATTTTTAACATCTGATTTGTCTTTTCTGACAGCCAGGAATTTAGATTAGTCATTAGACTCTGAATTAACCCTGGACATGAGCAGAATGCAGCCAACTCAAGCATCATGAAGGCACAGTAAACACTATTACATCTCCCCTCTAAAAATAGTGTATATACTGTCAAAGATACAATACATTCAATTTGCCAATTTTATGCCATCAAATAGTAAGGTCCCAGCAAGACAGACAAGTTGCAAGGAGCTTGTTATAGGGCATTTCTCCTTCTTAAGTCAGGGTATAGCATTTGGATCTGATTTGGCTTCTCTGACTTACACCCCCACATGTAATAGAACAGATCTAGGACATTTTAAAGCCTGTAATAGGTGTTAAAAAAACCCAAAAATTTGTTATGTGGTGTTCATTTACTCACAGGCTGCAGTAGCTCAGGACGTGATGCATCTTGTCTGATTTTTCCTTTTAGTACCATAGGGTTGAATTCTACAACCTTAAATTTTATTTCTTTCAGTTTAGAATTTTCAATCCATTTTCTGTGATTAAAAAAGAAGTGATAAAAGAAATATTGAGTGTGTGGCAAGTACTTGCAACATGAAATTCACAGACTCTTAGGAGAATAAGAAGGCTTGAAAGCTCACTCTATTCTATTCTATCTATTCTATCTATATCTATTCTATCTATAATCTATTCTATCCCAACACAGAATCACTTATGTCTACAGCCATTGCACAGATATTTCTTTAAAACAAAACACAAAAAAATCCACACAAAAACCTCAACAAAACAAACACCCCACAGCACTGTCAAAGCCAGACTCCATGTGTTGCCCAAATGACCCATCTTTCACCATCACTAGCAATAAGTGCTATTTTTCTAAGATTTCTTTGTATAATTAAAGATCATTATTTCTTATCCTATCTACCATGCTTTTAAAGTAGAGGTTAGTTTTCTCCCTTTTACAGTTTTATGTCCTTCTAGATGATTGCCACATCACATCCTAATTATATTTTCTTCAGACTAAACTAATATTTTCATTATTTTGTCAGACTTCTTATCATCACTGCTTATTTTCTCCTCTGACCTCTCTTCTAAATCCTTCCTGAAGGCACCTAAAGCTAACCACACTTTTTTGATGCCTTAATAATGTCTGCAAGATTAGAAGAAGTTTCCTCACATCTCCTCTGGTTATATATGTCAACATGTATAACCACTGATGCATGCCTTCTGCTTTTTGAATCAGTGTGGTCAGTTATCAGTCATAATTCTGCAGTTTTCCAAATGAATGCTACTGAACCTCTGCTTCACTCTGAGCCAATACAATCAGCTATTCCCACCAACATTACCCTGTCATTCCCTCTGCTGATTCTAATCATATTTTACAGTTAATTTTTCCTGTTCATCATGATTAATTTGTTTTCAGCTCTTGTCCTCAATAAATTTGCTGCTTCATGCCAACTGCAGATTCATAAAGAACATTCTTCACTCTATTATCTAGGTTGCTGATGAACTAGATGTGAAAAGCTCCCTGGGGGACCCCACTCATTACATTTTTTCAGTTTGACACAAAGTGTGGCACACAGGCCAGAGGTGAGACCCGCTAAGAAATCTGCTTTAGTTTTGCTTCACACCTTTCTCCTCTTAAAGACAATGTTTGCAAATTTTAACACCGAAACATGCTTTTGTTACAAGCTTTTTGGGATTCTTTTTATAACCTTTCATTCATCCTCTTAGATGAAATTAGTTTTAAACAGTTCTGAAGCTTAAGATAGATGAGAGGTAAGAGCAGTGCCACAAAGTGGGATTGTGATGAGTAGGAATATGTATACTCACTAAAGACTCTTCTGCAGCCTATCTACAGAAAGCAGAGAAGGACAGGTCTGAGTATGGTCTGGCTATTTCACACCCTTTTACATCAGTCAGTGGCTTCCTACACGTACAGAATCCTGGGGGCTACTACCAATAGCACTACTTAAATAAAAGGGAGAAACATTTCCCTGAAAGGTCCTGCAAAGTCTAGCCCTGTGCTAGGGAGAACAACCACCTGGTCCTAACTTCAGCATGAAGCAAAGAAAGGCTGGTATATACCGAATGTGTGGGATGGTTGTCTTCAGCCCAACTATGTAGAACAAAACACTGGCCTCTGTGTTGCTGTGGATGCTACTGATGGCTGCTACAGCTGCACCCATCCTGCCCGCAGCAGCGCAGATCACCACTGGGATTTCTTCTTCCATTTCCTCAGGACTCTCCAAATCAACTACAAGAAACAAATCCATTTTACATCAGACCTGGGTCCCAGGAATGAATAAATACTTTCATGAGCAGTGGAATCATTTCACCATCACCCCGTTTCCTTACCACATTCTACACAAATCCCCATCTGGCAAGGCACACAGCATGAGCTGTCACTAGTACAGAACTGCGTGAGGTTTGACTGGACTGCTGGATGCCTCCAAACAGAATATATAAGAGAGTTCTCAGCATCTTCTTCTCAGCAGGGTCACAATTCAGCCTGTCCTTCATGTAGCTGCTTATTCACATGAAACCTGAAGAGGTTTGAATACCTTTGAGACTTCTACTTCTCAGTTATATCTAGTACAAATTCAACAATAGGTTCCAAAATTATGAAAGGAAAGAAGTGAGTCAAAAAGAGTGCAATTGCATGACCTCCACTTCTTTGGGAAGCAGGCTTAAAAGGAACAGTGCAATAGTTTGTGCCAGCAGGAAGTTGCTAATGATAAAAGGAAAAAATCCTCTAAATAATACTGAATCAGGTCACATTACTGATAAGGAAGATTTTTATCCCTAGCACTGCTTAACTTACAGAACTTAAATGGATATATTTATATTGGTTAAAACATAACCATTTAAGTCATAACAACCCCAACAAAAAAATATAATGAAAATAGATGGTTTATACCCAGAAAGAGTTTGTTTTCCTTGGGAACAGTGAATAAGCTATTTGTATTAACATTTAGTACTAGCTCAACCATATCAACCCTAGCAGGTTTCTGTCACTATAAATATTCCAGCAAAAACTTCTGCTGTAAATGTCAAGATTTGGTGGTCTATCTGAAATCAATAAGCAGGCCAAGAACATTCCCAAAGAGGCAAGTCGTGATTGAAGTTTATTACCAGCTGACAACACCAATCTGTTCAGCACAAATAAGGATATACTCCAGCTTCCATCTACATCAGTGACATCTGGATAAAAACATGAATCAGAATGACAACTCTTAGTCATTACTACCAATTCCTTTCTATTTTATCCAAGTAATTCAGAAGCAAGAAATTTTGCATCCCAGACCATATGGAATGGTGTGAGTAGCTCAGCTGCTGCAGGACAAACAGGATTCAGTAAGATGGAAAGTGCTGTTCAAATCAAGGCATGAGGAATGTAAAACGAAACAGAAGTGCAAGTCATTTACCTGTTTCATTTTTTAACGCCGATGGCACTTGGTGAACTTTGTTATACAGAATGGCACACACAGTTAAGACAAGAAGTAACAGTAAGATCTGGTTAACTGAAACAAAAGGGAGAATGTATTAACAACCAGCATAACAGTATAACATAATTCCCAATTATCTGCTTAAAAACAAAAAATCCAATTTGCAACCAGTACATATGATAACCTGTATCTGTTGTGTTTATCAAATTCTTCTTTCTCACGTTATTTGATGAAGCTAAAAATTTTATGTTAAAAACATAAGTCTTCCCTGTTACGGTAACTTCCAACTACCTCATTTTCATGGTTAATTTACTCACTAAATCATAAGACTCACAATATATATGGGTTATCCATACTAGGAAATTCACATGTTTCTGAATTTACCAGGAGCTTGGAATCTTTTTTCCTGCCTAATTTATTGTCTGCTTATCCTCACAGGACATCATGAGTTAATTATATTTGGCTAGCCCTTTCCCTAGTGCTTCTCTGATAAAACTTCATGCACAGGAGAATTTTTTTTTTCTATTTCAGATCTTCAAGGTGTATTTGAGCCAAACTCCACAAATTCTAGAAACACAAACCCAGCATGCTACTGGAACCAGGAATGTTTCAAAATATTTGAAAATACCTATTTTGACAGAGTAATTTTAATTAGTAAAATCAAAACAAGGCATGCAACAGCAAATACACCTGACTGTGTATTCTGATTTACAGTTCCTACAAATCTTGGACAAGATAAAGTTATTCAACACAAACCAACCACATGCAGGGACCAGAAGAGTTTACGGAATACAGAGGGGAAGGAGTGCATTGCCATCATCAACAGTTACTTTGATGACGGGAATTCTTTGTTCCAGACAACTTTGTTTCTTTTGCACTACCATAAAAAGTATTTAAGATGTACAAAAGAGCAAAGGGAGCAGGATTTTGAAGTGTTTTAATCAAAAGGGCCAACTGGCCACAACTGGGCATGAGAATAAACTGAAATTGGTAAAGATATGTCACCAAACCTGCACTAATTTAAACTGGCTGAGGAAAAAGCCTGCTGACTGCAGAGAAATTTTGGGTGCATAACTGAAGGCAAACAACGGCCCATTTTCAGTCACTGACCCTGACAGTTGATGAGAACCCCAAAGTTCTCGAGGGACACACCTCAATTTTGAGTATGAACAGCATTAATGTGCAGAGTTTATTAAAAACCAGTCAAGTTCAGTGCTCTAGGCACAACCCACGTGGAACCAGCAGCTACCTGCACTCTCGAAATTTCAGAATATCCAGTCTCATGCATGCAGTAATTTTAAATTAATGGGATTTATGGTTGTACTTATCCCACTTAGTTAACAGGAAAAGACTTATTTGTATACTGAAAGTGAAGCATGATTTAGGAAAACTAGAACTATAAATTTATACGTAACTGTGATAGCAGTTGCATGAGAAATTGTATTTGACATTTCTGTGCTTTTTAAAAAAATATATGCTTCAAATGTTTTTGATCTCTCTTACTTTTCTTTAAAAGAGCCATTGTCGTGTTGGATGAGAACTGTGATCTGTGGTAAAATAAAATAAAAAAAAATTAAAAGAGGAAAAAAAATAGAGAAAAATCATTAATGCCAGAAGTGAATACTAATTAGTTATTTCAGGGACAAGTTTTTGAATTATCAATTTTACTGCTGAGTAAAATTTTACTAGTCAAAGTAAAACTCTATTTGATCTCTGTAAATACATTGTTTTTTTGGAACAAATAACTAATATTCTGGGCTAGAAATATTTCATATTTTAATTTAAGAACTAGCAGGTTGTAAAAAGCATTTTAACAAATTCCATCTGATCACCTACATCAGCGATAACTAACATTTTTAATACAGTTTAAAATAATGTGCAAAGAAGCATTAAATCACCCACTGATGCAATTTATAAATACATTTATCTCTAATTTCACCTAAAACATAGTAACTGTCACGAATACTGATCTCTTGCTGGAGTATGCTCACAAACATATGGGAATCTTATCTTGGAACAGTGTCTATCAGACTTGCAGAAAATTTCAGAACAATGGTAAAAATATTTTCTAGGAGCAGCATCCTTCCACAAACAGTAAGGAGGGAGTATGTGTAATGTACCCTAAAACTGTACTTCTAAGCCAGGGCCAGGAGCAGTCATGACCTTATGCCCGAGAGGACAGAACATAAACCCTAAAATACAGGATTATGGGAAATACAACATTCGTTTGAATTCTGGACCCAAACCTACTGTTTATGAAAAAAAAACCCCAAACCACAAAACCAAGACAACAACAAACAACCAACAGTAAAAAACAGCACCAGAAGCTGGAAGGGAGGGAACAAGACAACTGTGTGATCTAACCTTTATACTGTGTAGCTAGATATAGGACAGAAAACAATTTTTCCAGTTACCATGCATACATAGAGACACATTACAGCATAGGTAAGGATAAATGGGGATTTCTATGCCACATAAAATGAAATTTCATCCAGCTCCTTGAGAAGACAGACGGAACAGCAGGAATTCTTGAAATCTGAGTCACAAAACTGACCACCTCTCATTGGTCAATGCTCAAGTTCAGGCAGCATCCTAAATTAGTCTCTACTTTGACCAACGACTTAAATGACAACAAAAATACGAAAAAAATCTAAGATGTGGCTTTGTTTACAAACCACTTATGTAGTTAGGTCCCAACAGAAGACTAATTTGCAGTGAGAAAGGAGTCATTCTGGAAGTTTTTCCACATCTGCACTACTTATCTACATTCCAGCAGACCACTCTCTTCATGTGGCATTAATTTACACAGAGGAAATCAAGTTTATCTGTCGGAAAAAACACCACAGCTGAGAAAGCCCTTCTCTCACGCATTACACACAAGTATCATCTTCATATGCATTTAAAAACTTTACTCATTTAGGTAAGCAGAGAGGCAACAGAACCCCTACACTCCTGGAGTAACTTTATAACCCCATTTAGCTAATCATAACCTTCCACTGATTTCCATAGAGCTGATCACTGTCTTTGAATTAGTATTTGTAATAATAGTCACAAACAGTCCTAATGATCACTGCAAGAGGAAAGTTCCATAGCCACAGCTTCATGGTATCCTCAGAAATTATTAAATCCACACAAATTGAATCATGTTTTAAGCTTTAAAATCCACACTCAGACAGACTACCAAGCAAGTTTGAGTTCTAGGACTACAGCATTCCTACACCTCAGTAACACCGATTGACTACCTGCTGAGTTTTAAGAAAAGAGAGGTATATTTGCTCCCCTGCAAATATTTACTCATTTTTCCTGCCTGTAGACATTATTTCCTGGAACCTGGCAGTCCCTAACTCAGCTGCCAAATCCTGTAACAAAACGAGGGGCTGCAGAAGGGAAAGCTCAGAAACAGTGACATTACTGCTCAGATATTTCCTGCTTAATTAGTCTTTTTACCTCTTCAAAGCAGCACAGTATTCGGGACTCCTCTCTTCTGAAGCGCTGAGGAGCTATTTACTTGGATCCTAGATAGCCCACAGCTGTGAGCACTCTTGCCAAAGCCTCCTTGACCACCATCCTCCTTTGAAGTCACCCGCACAAGGGCCTTACAGGGCACAGTAACAGTTTTACGATTCAATTCCTTTTTCAGACTCTTCAAAGTTTACTTTGGAGTTGTGCTGGTTTTCTTTTCTTTCTCTGCTGCTGAGGAATAGCACGGAGTCCAGACGCTGCACTGGAGGAATGAGAGCCCATAAACCACTTCCAGATGTGCAGAACGATGATGCAGCCCCAGATTTGGCAAACTTGCCTCAGAGCTTCAGCTAGCAGATTGCAAACAAATCCCATAAGACAAAAAGTCTTAAAGGGGTGGGGGAAAGAGAAGGAAGCAAACCCTTCCAGAAGTTACTTCCAACAGTCTAGCTGCAAGTTAGGTTTCTAGTCATTATTTATGGTAAATGTGAACAGATAACTAGTGTGCAAGAGCCAAAATACAACATGCCAAAGTCAAACTGAAAGCCAAAGTTTTTCCAATGTCTGTTGGCAGAGTTCTTGCAAGTCAAAAGCTAAGGGAAACCCACAAAAATCAACTCTGAACATGCACTTTGACTTGAATCATCTCATTTCCAAGTCTTTGAGCATTTAATCCACAGGTTTGGTTTAGATTCAAAAGGATCTTAGATTAAGGTTACCAGTACATGTTGATATCCTGCCTCCTAAGCTCTCCTGGAATGCTTTTGCTGTTTTATTTCTACAGCACTGGTTTTATTCAAATTCTCTCCCTCCCTTCTAGGAATGACCCTTCTATGTGATAAAATGTTGTTCTGTCACAAGATTTTCATGAATACTGAAAGGAATAATAATAAACATCTTCAACACTAAACTATTGTTCATATTTTTAGCATGAGGCAGTGCAAAACTTACAAGGAGTACTCAGTGAAGGTTTTAAAAATCTTAAATGTTTTATATGAAGATTGCTCTTGCATTTGCAGGAACTGAAAATATGGAGTTTCAACTGTATGTCTCAAACATGCCCAAACTGTATTATCTGTGTCTGACTTTGTACAGAAATCCATCTTTTGCAGAGCTGCTTGAAGGAAAAATAAATGAAGAGTTAAACATACAGTTATGTGCTTTGTGCACAACTATTAGTACTTTTTCCATACTGTGGTATTTCAAAATCCACCTGTGTTTTTTCACCTCCCTTCCATTTCTATGTGAGTCTGAACAGATCCAAGCAGCAGACAGCCACATGAGCCTGCGGAATTGGGACCAGATCCTTCGCTTGACAGCAACCCCTGGATTACTGGCAACACAGTAGCACGTTCGCAGAATCACAGAATCAACTAGGTTGGAAAAGACCTCTGAGATCATCGAGTCTAACCTACGACCGAACACCACCGTGTTGACTAGACCATGGCACCAAGTGCCACCTCCAGGCTTTCCTTAAACACCTCTAGGGACCATGACTGCACCACCTCCCTGGGCAGCCCATTCCAACGTCTAATTACCCCTTCTGTGAAGAAATTCTGCCTAATGTCCAGCCTAAACCTCCCACTGCACAGTTGAAGACTATATGTGGTACTTTAGAGAATACTGACAGCGCTCAATTATACATCTCGGCATAGCAATTTGCTACGCAGAGCTCGATAAGGAGAAGAGGTTTTTTGTACCAGATACACCTTCTCTGGATTTCCCTCAGCCTCACACGTTTACATTCTCACATAACACCCTGCTCTCACAGGAAAGAGAGCAGCCGCCCTCCTGCAGAACGAGACCTTCGAATTCACTCACATCACCCGCCGTCAACTGCAGAACCGAAACCTTGGTTTCTAATCTCAACCCTCAGCGCTTAAACAGCAGCTCATCCCTTTTCTCACATGCACGCCTCGCAGGCAGCAGCATTACGTCGCCAGTCAAAAAAAACTGTGAGTCTGCTACAGGTTTCTGGGGGCTCAGGGGCAGAGCCGGGCGCCCCGGGCTGAAGAGTACACACCGCACAGCGGTGCCCGGCGGGCTTCCACGGGCTCCGCCAAGAGCTCGCGCCCGGGCGGTCCTCGGGGGCAGAGGGGCCGTGCTGACAGAGGGGCCGTGCTGAAGAGGGCTGCGGCCGGAGGCGGCGCGCGGCGGGCCACCGGGCGGGCCGGGCGGGGCCGCGGCCGCCCTCACGTCAGCGCCCCCTTCCCCGCGGCTGCCCGACCGCGTGCGGTGCGTTGTGGGAGCGGCGCTGAGATGGGCGCCGCGGGGCTGAGCTGGAGGGGTGTCTCCTCACGGGGCCGGTGCGCGCCCGCGCACGGCACGGCGCGGTCGCATCCCGAGAGCTGCTCATCATCTTCGCGGCGGGCAACGAGGGCATCGCCGACGGCTGCACGTCTACAACACGGGTGCGCGGGCGGGGCCGGGCGGCGGGGCGGGCGGGGGCGGGGGGGGGAAGGCGCGGGGCAGTCCCGGCTCCGGCGGCGGTGGCACGGGCTCCTCAGGCACCGGGATCGCCGCCGAGCTCCCGGCTCCCCGGCTCGGGGGGGGCGGCGGGCGGGCTGAGGAGCTGCCTGGAGGTGAAATGGCGGGACCGGGAAATACGCCTGGGCCGTGGGGTCTTCCCCGGGATAGCGCTACGCCCCGGCCGGTGCTGCGGCGTTAGTGGGCCTTTCTGGGGAAAAGGAACCTGGAAAATCTCTTGATGCGCCTGTTGTGCTTTCCCAGCCCCTGGCGCGGGGGTGCGGAGTCTCCCCTGGCAGGGCTCGGCTGAATGGCGGCAGGCGGGATTAGTCCCCGCCAGTGTCCGGATCCCCCTTCTTCCCTCTGGTGGCGGCAGCTCACGAGAGCTGAACGCGCTGGAATAGGAATCTTGCTTGGAAAAGCGAACATGCTGGCATTGGGAGCCTTTCCAAACAGGAAGCTGCCCGAGACCGATTTTATTTGTGAAGGATTAGATGCCTAAATAGTTACTGTACAGGATGCTGAATGAGGCTGGAAAACTTGCGTGTAGTGTTAGAGCTTGGGCCGAGACGGGAGAGTTCAGTGACTGATCCGTGCTTCTCAGTCTGCCAGTGTTGAGTTTTTCCAAGCAGATTTTTCTCTGGTATCTTAAAGATACTATTCTTAATCACATTTTTGGGGGGAGAAGAAAAAAAATCTCTTAACTTTTCTGTTCTGACAAGTAATCCCAAAGAAAACTCTCAGACAGTACAGTTATGCTGTCTCTCAGAACAAAGGTTTTGATGCTACCTTTTGAGTGAGTCTTTTGGGTTTTTTTCCTGCCCGGATTTTCTGCTAAAGGTGTTTCCCCTTCATAGCAGTGGCAAAAAGGATCATGACTCAGTTGTTCCGGTTTCTGGACGAGTGCTTGGCCCAAACTGACCTTTTTTTCTCTGGGGTTTAAGGTGCAGGGTTGTGACCCAGGCTGCCCCAGTGTGGGATGCCATCCGTGGTTCTTGCTATGCGTGTGATGACTTCTGAGGAGCTGGCACACAGTGAGCATCCGAATCCGCTGCAGCAGTGTTCACTGGAAGCTTCTAATTTCATACTTTTCCTCTTTGTGCTCATGAAAAAAGTTTAGGATAAAGAAGACAGTGTCTCCTGTAATTCTTTAATTCCAGAGCAGTTTAAACACCAATATGCTGCTGCTGGATCAGACTGTCTCAGCTGCTCTTCCTTGCCTGTGTGCCTCTCCTCTCCTCTCCCATGTATCAGTGCAGCGTTCCGTGGATATTAACATGGGTCCCAGAACAGTGTAATTAGTTTTTGAATAGGGCTATTAAGTCCAGGCACACTGCCATGCTGCTGTAGCTCTAATAATTCTGTTTCTAGGGCTAGCTCCCTCTGAGTTAGCATAGTTATCTCTCTTCTGTAGAACTGCACTTGTGTTCCTCATTAGCCTCTATTCTTGGCAAGTCTGTTAAATTGCTGGGTGACCCTTTGTAAATGACTTAGTTACAGTGACCTCATGGGTTCATTCATACTGAGTAACATTGGTTTGATACAGGTGTTTGCTTTCCTTTTTATTAAAAACCTCAATTAAAACTTAGTGTTAAGCAAATAGCCCATTCACAGTTATCTACAGGTAAAAAGTAGTGCTCTAAAAAGCAGAGGTGTTTAAAAATACACTTTTCGGTGTTTCAAATATTTTTCTTCTTTTTTTTTTTTTTTTCCTCTACTATAGTTACAAATCAATGGTTCCTTCCTGCTGTAAGGGGAGATATTCCTCCAGGCTGTGCAGCACATGGATTTGTTTGTGATGGTACCAGAATACTAGTTTTTGGAGGAATGGTTGAATATGGAAGATACAGTAATGATTTATATGAATTGCAGGTAGGAAATGTATGAAAATGTTTCAATTTCGAGGACTACTATATTTATCTGTTTATGAACAAACACATTTTATTTTACCAACTGCAGAAGAAACTTACATAAGCTTTGCTCTGCTCCAGGAAGAATAAACTTTAAATAGATTCTGAAGATGGAGAAAATCCAAATGCCTTTGAAAAAGAGACTTCCATGTAGTCTGAATAAAGTATAAAATATTTAGTCTTTTATTTAAGTAAGCTCATATGTGTCCCTTTTAACATATGTCCTGAGAAAAGCCCAGCATTCCTTTAAAAATAGTTCAGAAAATATAAGACTGTTAACATTACCTGAATTCTATTTACTGTGAGTGACTATAAGTGAAGATATTTCTGAACATATTTTTCTTGTCTTCAAGGCAAGTCGATGGCTCTGGAAAAAAGTAAAACCTCAAGCTCCTTCCAATGGATCACCACCCTGTCCTCGACTTGGCCATAGCTTTTCTTTATATGGTAACAAGTGCTATTTGTTTGGTGGCCTGGCAAATGAAAGTGAAGATTCAAATAATAACGTTCCCAGGTATGCTGATTTGCTTTGAATTTAATGGCTTTAAAGACAAATGACTGGATGTGACAACCTTGAGCAGGAACATTCTAGTCAGGCTGTTCTGTGTACCAGGTACCTGCAGGTGGATTATTTGTGCAGTGGACGGGTTACATGCGAAGAAGCTTAAATATTTCTTCTGCTAACCCCACAGTATGTAACACTGACTGACAGCTCTGACACTTATGTAGGCAAACCTGAGTAGACTTTGGTATTTTTCCTAGTATTTTGGGTGATGATTTTAAGAATGGCTTGTTTGTTAGAATTACTTGAATCAGCCAAGTCTCATGAGTCATCAGGGAATTCACGATGGATGTTTCCTCTATATTACTGTGGAAAATAGTTATGAATTCATTTGGAAATTTTTTACAGTAACAGCTGAAGTTGCCTCTGTTGCCAGCAAACGGTGCTCTAATGCTCCAGTTTTAGATCCACGTTCACCTGCAGTTCAGAGCACTAATATCCACTGAGCTATAACCTGGCAGTTTTAAGCTCAGTAAACAAGGGGTACGTCATGTGAATGCCAAGATTCAAAAACAGTTATCTAAGAAATAACTTGCTGATAGATTCAGCAACGAATGGCTAATTGTCTATTGGCCAGCCTGAAGGCACAAGAAAAAAAATAGCTTCTTCTCACCTTTATTGCTTTGGAGCTGCAGAAATTCATCTCTAATGTCTCTGGTCATCCTGTTATTTCTCACAGCTTTGCAGTTTATTCCAAGTGTGTCCGTATGTAGTAATTTCTGCGAAGAATGTTGTTTACCCCTCTTGAATGTTTCCTTCATGTAATACAGTGTAGCAAATATGATATGAGAGCATGTTTCCTTAGAGGCAACCAGTTATAATTGTTCGGGTTTTTTGGTTTAAATCCAGTTTCGGTACTGTCCACAATGCTTTGAGAGTTTAAAACTCTACACTCTCCCAAGACAGAAGTCTGTAATACTTGGAAGGGGTCGGGGTTTAAAGCACACTTGTAATCGTGCTTGTAAGTGAATTTTTCATACTTTTGACAATAATACCCTAGATATTTAAATGATTTCTATGAACTGGAGCTGCAACATGGTTCTGGCGTTGTTGGCTGGAGTATTCCTGTGACCAAAGGAGTCTTACCGTCTCCCCGAGAATCTCACACAGCCATCGTATACTGCAGAAAAGATGCGGGAAGTCCGAAGATGTATATTTTTGGAGGGATGTGTGGCTGTCGGCTTAATGATCTCTGGGAACTTGACATAGGTGAGTTGATTTGCCAGTAGAAGTCCGTGCTCACTTGCTGAGAGGAAAAATTACAGTATAGAATGGTTAATGGCATGATGTGGTACAGATATTATTGAGTCTAACACCATAGTGCTAACCTCTTGTAATTTCTGGAATGAAATAGATACAGCATTGTTTGCATATATTATCCTCGCTGATTATGGGTGAGATTGTTTCTTTAGAGAGTTCTTTAGAGTGGTTATCACTATGATAACCATAATGCTGAATAACCATAATGGAACCATAATATATCTTTCTGATAAACATTGTATCCCTTCCTGTTTTTTAAAAGAACCTCTAGGGGCTTGTTGTTGTGCTTCTTTCTTAAAGTTGCCATCCGAAAAAGATGAAGTTTTGTTTTGCTTAATCTTAGAGGGATGTTCCCTCCTAAAATCCAGGGAGTGAAATATGCGGTAACAAGGTTTCTTTGAGGATTTTTATTCTTTTTCTTTTAGAAACCATGACCTGGTCAAGACCAGAAACCAAAGGGACAGTACCACTTCCTCGCAGTCTCCATACGGCCAATGTAATAGGAAACAAGTATGTCTGTTGTTAAAAGCTCAACTCTAGAAAGGTACACCTAGTAGGAGAATGATGACACTTATCCACTACTGCTCAGTATAAACCATCAGCCCTGTAGAGTACTTTGCTGCTGCTATTTAAAGTACCACTGTTAACTTAAGGGTATCAAACTGCCAGTGTTTCCATCCAGCAGAACAATCTGCCCAACCTTCAAGCAGCTTTCCAGGCTTCTTAAAGCACCTTTGTGCATTCTGGTGACCTGGGCCTCAGCTGGCTCTGTCAGGAGTGAGCTCGAGTGCCTCTGTGTCTGTGACACAAATGAAATTAGCTATGCAAAAAAACTGCTCAAAGAGTAAAACTAGTTCTAGGCAAAACTATTCCACGCTTTTTCCGTATTCTGTTTCTCATTACTCTGCTTCTTACCAATGTAGTTTGTTTTGGCAGATAGCATTGATAAAATGGATTTTTAAACATGGGTTTCAGTCTATTTTATATCAATTTACAAGTGGGCATGAGGAGAGAGAGTCAAGGGGGAAAAAAGATGTGCAAGCTTTGTATCTTATGATTCAGTAGGTTAGTTTTTGATTATTTACTTAACATGTCAGTAGTTTGTAGCCTGCATTATATTTTTAAATTTTGATATCTGACTTAGATACCAGTCTTCTTATTTTAGTTATTGAGAAGTCTGCAGTAAAGGATTGTAGAAATACTGTGTAAAAGTGTGATTTTCTGAGAGCATTAGCAGTTTGGTGGCTTGTAAGAAGTGACAGTATTAACTTCTGTTTCTGGAAAGTCGTTTGAGGAGTTTGTGGGATTTTTTGTTTGATTGAGTTTTTTAATCAGTTAACTTACTCAAAAATTTCAGAAGGTGGATGTCTGCAACAGTACTTTATAATGAGAGTAGATTCAAATAAAATTTGCTGTAAACCAGAACTGTAAAGCACTGGGAATTTTCTGTTTCGTCCTAGTTTGAGAGAACCCATGCAGCAGATCTGGATATTAATTGTCTTTTCTTTTCTTTTTCCCTCTTCCCTCTTTTCCTATATTTCAGAATGTATGTTTTTGGTGGCTGGGTCCCACAGTCAGCAGGAGGTGAAATTTCTTCTCATGATGGCGAATGGAAATGTACCGGTTCATTTTCTTACCTTAATTTGGGTTAGTGTTTCTGCCTTTCTGGGAGTGGGCATTTTAAAGGATACTTTATTAACAGAGTAGAGTAGCTATTTTGAAGACCCTGAGAAAAGTTTAGGATACATAGCTGTAACACTAGGGGACTAAAGAAGTTGCTGGGTTTTTACATCTTTCTTGAGAAGTGATATTTTAATAATCGTTTTTCTTGGAAGATTCAGCAGGTTTGCTTCTGCAAATCTTTGTTAATACAACTTTAAGTAATTTAAATACTCCTTCATTTATAGAAGAACACAAGAGACAGATCCTGAAATGATATTTTTTCTAAGCACGATAGTACTATCCCTGAATCCTCAACCTCTGATTTTGTATTTGCCTGAGAGAGATAACCAGAGGTCAGAAAATTCATCCTGTATTAATTGATTTAACTTGCATATTAATTGGAAAGTGACCTTCTCTTTGTAATATTTCAATTTTAAATGCAATTCGTCTATAAAAACAGAAGTGATTTATTTACATTTTTTTCTGTGCAGTTAAGCATACTAACATCTTTATTTCTTGCTTTGGAAAACATCTAGAAACTAAATTTTTCGAGTTTCATTTACTAGATACCACAGAATGGATAGGTCTGATCTCAGATTGCCAGGAGGACAAGAGTAACTTGTTCCCAGGGCCAAGAGCAGGACACTGCGCGGTAGCGGTTGGCACTCGCCTGTACATCTGGAGTGGGAGAGATGGTTACAGAAAAGCTTGGAACAATCAAGTCTGCTGCAAAGATCTTTGGTACCTTGATACTGGTGAGTCAAAACTAAGAGACTTGCACTATGTTCCGTGTTTTATTAACATCTGGGAAGCTTGCATCATGGATGATCAGAACATCTAAGCTGTAATAATCTCAAAGGTTATTTAAATTTTAAAGATTATTTTAAAAAAACATGCTTCACTTTTGATTGTTCAAAGGCTACAGCTGTAACTTAAACTGAAAAAATTAGGAAGGCTTGTTTAGAGCCTCTGAAAGAACTTTGTGGCTAGATTCTGCATTGCATCCTATAGTCAGTTGATACAAGGTGCTAAAGGGTGTTTTGCCTGAACTCAGGGTTCCTGACCTCTCCTTTTAGTGATCTTTTCTGCTACTATTTACTCCTTCCTACCAAACCCTTCCTTCTCTTGGGATCATTGCTGCTGCTGCTTCCTCATCTTTTGGACTGCAAAATGATACTATTGAATCTGAAAAAGGACCAAATTGTTCCTGGGGATGAAGGGAATTCTGGAGCACTAATCACTCATTAGTAGCTGGATTAATGGCAGGACACTGAGATGGTACTGGGGAAGAGGGGACTAGAATGGAACTTTTGGGAGCGAGTTGTTGCCTATTGAAGCAGAAATATGGAAGTTGTTATTGGAGATTGTGAAATATTTAGGAGATAGTGAGGTGGGGTTTTTTTGTTTGTTTGTTTTGTTTTTATTTTCTTTTTTTATTTTTCCCTCAGAAGATCAGGAAATGAAAAAAGTAGCAGGGGAGGGATGTGCTTGAGAGTGCAGCGTAGTCAAGGCAAGTGAGAGGAGCAGGCCAGTGGCATCAGTCATGTCTAGGCTTCAGTCTCTGCAGAAGTTTGAAGGAAAGCTCACTTTAGTTACAGAGAGCATGCAAAAAGGAAGAGGGATCTTCTGTGAATTCTATTGAGGAATATGTAAAACTTTAGGGGCCAAAGAGCTACCTGTAGCCTTTTGGGAAAGCACAAAGATCTCTTATCTCTGTAATTTCTACAGTGACGTAGCTGTAACTCAAAGTCTTACTGGCAGCAGAAGAGCCCTTGAAAACAAAGCATGAAAACTTGAGCATTTTTGAGCACTCTAACATGACACTGCATAATTCTCTGACTTGTCTTGCCACCTTTGGCAAGGGTTTCTTGTTGAATCTGGTATACCTTGTACATCAGTGGAAAAGGATTTTACTCACAATGTATAGATATTTAATAAGCTGATTAAGGGAGGGCCATTTCTAACATGCCATCTGTGTTTTATTGGTTTCTTGTAGAGAAGCCCCTAGCACCATCACAGGTACAGCTCATTAGAGCTACAACCAACTCTTTTCAGTTGAAATGGGATGAAGTTCCTACAGTTGAAGGATATCTTCTTCAGCTACACGCTGACTCACCAGTGCCACCGGTGGCTGGAACTCCCGTTACTGGTGTTCCTGAGACATCCCTGCTGAGTTCACAAGGTAATGAAGATCTCACAAGTCAGATCACATTATACTAATGTTTGTGCACAGGCAGACTAGAGTATTGCATAAGTATTTGATATGAGTTTGTTTTTTAAAGAACCATTTTTTGCAAGAGAGAGACCCTATTTCTTTGGTTATTCCCAAAATGCCTTGGGAATAACACTTTACCTTGTTTCTGTTGATTTTGGTCAGCTGTCTGAATTATGAAGATATTTGTACAGTGCTGGGCACGATTTGAGAAAGGAAACAGTGAGAAGGGGATTTTATCTGACTGTTTGGCCATGCAGTTTCATTTCAGATTTACAACAAAGTTTTCCTTCAGGAAACTTTGGGTCTCCCTCTCCCTTACTGGACTAGATTCCAAGCAACATAGTATTAAATTTTACATAACTGATGGGGATTTGTTTTTGTTTACCTGCTAGGTGGCTGTTCTCTACATCAAAATCCCCAACCATTGCCTAGCATCCCTTATCCAGAACTGAAGGTTGATCATCCCAGCCAAACAAATAATCTCATTCCTAATAATGTAAGTGTTAAACTGAAAAATGCATGAGTGGCAAAGTAGTGTGGGAAGCTAGAGGACTGCCAGAACACTTCCTCAGTTTTAAAAGTCCTTGCATAATTTTTGGGCCTTAGGAAAAAAAACCCGAATCAAACAAAAAGACACTTGCTGAAGTAATTGTGTCTGTTTTCTTATGTAGCTTTTACTTTTATGATTGACAGACAGTCTTTCAAGTCCTCTTCCTGGCAGAAAGGAAACTGCAACTGTCTTGACTTCCAGAATGCTAACTTGGGAGCCTTATACCAGTAGAAATACTATTCATCCTTAAAATGTTGGTGAAATTAATGTGGAAAGCATAAAGAATAAGGCATATTCCTCTGTTAGTGCTTTTATGCTAGTCTGCTTAGTTGTAGGTTCTTACTACAGATTAAACCCAATTATTATCTGTTCTGTTTGTACAGTTGTACACATTCCACTGTTTTGCCAATTCAACAGAAAGAGTGAGGACAAAGGCTGGCTAAAGGATCACATTTTTGTAATTTTGCACCTTTTCTTAAATGAGAAAAGTCTTAGATCTGTATGGGATCCATAATGTATTCCTGGAGAAAACACATGTAGATATACTATAAATTTCACTAACAGTAGAAGTATCTAAAGTACATGCCAGGAAAGCAAAAGTTGAAAGCCTCTGTAATTGTGATTTTCCCCATCTCCTCAAGTCCCCCCAGTAGACTAAATATGTGCATCAATGAACTTCCATGTAATGACAAAAGAACATGAGCTCACTGTCAGATAAAATTTAGTATCTATCAGAGACATGTCCAGGGCAACTCAGAGTTTGAGTTTTTGTTTTTTAATGGTTTCTTGGTTTAATTTAGAGTACTAGGGAATTGTTGGAGGAGTTTAGCTTGTTGCTTATGAGTAAGCATTTTCATGCCATGTTTGCAACTGAAATTTCCCAACTTTGCGGTTAAACACTAACAAATGTGTTGTTTTGCTTAGGTCCAAGTTTCCCTTTCATCCAACTCATTATTGAAAGTAGAAGGAAAAGAAAAGGTTGCAGCACCTGAAAACAAGATTACACAGGAGACTATGAAAAACCACACAGATGCTACAGGATTCAAAGAATCAAATGCCCCTTCCCTTTTGCCTGTTTGTACTTCAAGTAAGATGACTGTAGAATAAAAATAAATTGAAAAGAGAGAGTTAAAATTCATCTCATAAACATAAAATAAGGTTATTTGTCTTGTAATTTAAAATTATTTTAGATTCCTTTGTAGTTTAAAAAAACCCAACTTGTGTTAGTTATTACCGAACATATTTTTAGGAGATACAGGGAAAAATGAAATCCTAAATTATTTGAAGTGTTGCAAGGGACGTGAAATTCTCAATATATTCATTATTATGATAGCAAATGTGTCTAAACATAAGTAGCCATTTTTAACATAAAAAAAAGGACAGATACGTTTTGCAACATTATGGTGATAGTAACTCCAGACTCTGACACTGTGTCTGTTAGCAGTGAAAAGCTATAATGTGAAATTTCAGGCAATGTAGAGAGAAGCGTGTTTCTCTCTGACTGTAGAGGAAATAGATGACAAGGCACTGATGTAGGCATTTCACTGAAGTGCCTTAAGTTCAGTGTGGTGAATCCAGGCTCAGTCACCTGATCTGTTTATATTTGACTTTCATGTACTTTATGGGTTGTTGGATTTTTATTTTCTTCACAGTGTAATTTAAGTATCATGTGGAAATTTTGGTTCTTAGTGCTAAGTGAGAAACAAAATTCCACAGGGGTTAATCTTGATTGTTACAACTCTGTGATACTGATTTGTGTGGATGCTTTATTTTAGTGTCTTTTCCCAAATTAATCCTTTTGTAACAAAATAAATATAGAATGGCAAGCTTAAAACAACTGTTTACATGTATCTGTTTATGACTGTGCAGACAGACTTTAGTTCAGTTATATACCTAAAGAAAGCACTGGTAATCAATTTGATCAGATCTATTCTAACCTAATTCTGAGCTAAACTCAGGCTTCATAGGAAACTAAAGCCATTAGATCAGGTTGAGATTTGTTATGTGTTATCAATATTGATTTCTGGTTAATATTTTCTCTTTTTAAGGTGCTCAGACATCAGCAAATGTAGGTGAATTACATGACTTGGACAAACAAACTGTAAATCCTGATGCTTCTGTATCCAGTACTGTCTCCAGCACACAAACTATGGTAACCCAGCAGGCTGTTAAAACTGAATCATCAAGTACAAATGGGGCAGTTGTTAAAGATGAAACTTCACTAACAACATTCAATTCAAAATCTGAAGGTTTGAAATGTGTTTCACATACTGTATTTTGAGCCATATATATCTAAGGCCATCAGAGTTCCCTTAGTGTGGTGGGATTCCCATCTTGACTAGTACCTGGGATGTAGATAGGCTTTGGGCATTGAAGACCTTGTGCAGCCTGGATGATCTCTGCTATGATTTAAACATCTTTTAAAATCAGGATATTCCTTTTATACATCTGTAAATCACTGTGTTTCCTGTAAGTGAAAGGTCCTTTAAAGTCTTCATTTAAGGTCCATTTTCTAAATAGCAGTGGTAGCCAGTTTTGGTGCCCATTGCACATTTGCTTTCCTTCAGTGATTGTGAGTCAGCAAAAGACTAAAATAGTAACCTTAGATGATTTTGATTTTAAGCAATTGACCTTTAACAAATATGTCCAGTTAACATGGCTAGCTCACCGCTAGTCAAATGTGCTGGCCTCTTCATAGTCTGCTTGAAATATCCAAAATAAGCAGCAAAGCAGAAAATAAACATATGGGTAGTTTTTCAAGTTTTGTTTTTCACAAATATCAACAGGCTGTGCTTGTTATTGTTTTGATTGTTAACTAAAGAACTGTATTCTTATATTGATGTTACGTGTGTAGTATAACTTTTACCAAAGAGTACTGTATTTTAAAAGCAAAACCCAGAAACACAAGTATAGAATACTAATATTCCCTTGTGTTGCTTGTGTGCTTAATCTTTTTTCTTTTTTTAATATTCCATTTTAAATTCAATGAATACTCTGTTCCCATTTGTTGGGATTGTTACAGATTAAATGCTCATGCTCAGATTCAGATTGTATTGATGTCAGAAACAATGCAATCAAATTAAGATTTCACACTTAGACTATTCATACAGTGTCATCAGTTTGTGCCTCAATCTGGTATTTAGATTATTTGCTTGCAAATATTTTATATGGATTTCATAGTTCTGTTCTTATTTAGGATTTTCTGCCTTCTGTTTTTATTATCTGTAGCAGCCTCCAATGCCAGACTCTCAGAATTGTTCTGTGAATAGGACAGAAGCCAAAATTAGTTGTTTGTGTTATAAATAGAACTGCATGCAAAAGAAGTCTGAGAAGGATTTGTGCAACAAATACTTGTAAATGGCTATTGAGGTCAACTTCCATATTCTGTCGATTTTGTGTTCAATTTTCTGTATCACTCAAGCTTTTTAAATTTAACTTTTTGTTTTTAGCTGCTGAAACTGCTTATATCATGCCTTCAACAAGGGTCAGTACTGGACAGACAAATGATTCACACTCCTCTGTAAGTCTGAAAAAGTATAATCAAATTTCTGTATCTATTGTTCTGTTGATTAGTTGTAAGGGCTCTTCTGTTTGCTTTTCTTTCAGAAATATAATTAAAGGAAATGTTTATTTAGGGCTTGAAGTGAATAATACAGGGGTAAACATTTCTGTTGTAAAACTAATTGCATTGTGTGGGTTTGATGTGAGTCTAAGTAGCAGTTGTGTAGTTGGGAGGAGATCCAAGTATGTGTTTCAGCTGTTGAATCATTTTTATTGACTGGCACAGTGGAATGGTCTCTCTGCTGCATGATGTGCAAATGTACAATGTTTTTCTGTATGCACAGTTGAAATGAAAATGAAGTATGTATTAGATCAGACTATTGTTAGCTGCTGATCTATAGATTTGAAACGTTACTTAACTGACATCTTGATGTTTTTCCCTAGAGGAGATGGGGACTGGCTATGCAAGCTGTAAATACTGCCTGAAAAAGTAAATGCTTCCTATTTCACCTGCTTACAACTTAATACACAAAACCAAGGTGCCACTGTTGCCACCAAAAGCGAGGAACTAAGGATGGGGAGAAGCAGCTGCTACCTAAAGGGTTGGGGTGCTTTTGCCAAGAGCAGCTGCGGTTCCTGCCCCGTTTCCGTGCCAGCAGGATCATGGCCTGTCTGTGCTGGGCACACTGACTGTGCAAGTGCTCTCCCTGGGGTCTGGAGACAAGCAGGAAAGACAGTTTGTCTTTCTGGGTCAGTCAGGAACAGTTCACACACCCTCCACCACCATCGCCCCATGCCGCAGCAGGGGCCTGTTCTCAGCTGCCGGCGAGTTCAGCAGTGGCTGAGGGAGAGCATGTTTGGGGCTGAGATACAGCTGATTCCCAGGGAGAGCTGCTGGTGTTGGACCACTCTGGGGAACTTCTTGACCTCTGAGCCAAATTAACTCGCAACTACATGCTGCTACAGACACCTAGTTCTACAGCTTTAAACTTCTTCCCCTGCCTGTTTAGAATATCAGATGTGACATCCCAGCTGTTGCCTTTTAAATGACAGACTGTGTCTGAGTCAATGTTTAAGAACCAGTTGGTTTTGAACACTGTTTTAATAGTATATGCATATCCATTTGAAGTATAAGAAAGTAACACTGGTATAAAAGGGGGTTGTCTCTCACATATACTAGAGTCTTAACACTTTTTTACATTACTCTGAAGTCTGGGTAATCCACATAACATGTTCTTCAAATACTAGAAAACTCCACAAAGACCGATGGCACCAGTGAAAGCAAGAGACCGGCGATGGTATGATGTTGGAATTTTTAAGAACAACAGTGCTGTGGTGAGCCAGTTCTACTTGCTGCCAGAGGAAACACTGAACATTTCTAACAAGGTACTTGCTGATTCTTCTCTGACATAACTTGCACGTAAAATCTTTTGGGACCTGTTGCTATTGTTAATTCTTTTCTTATTTCTAACCTTAAGAAAGAATTTTAAACTCAATAAACTTTCAAACCAGTAAAAATTCTTAAAAACTAAAAAACCCACAACTTTTTTAATATGTCACTTTGGTGCAGCATTGAAATGTTTCAAAGTTTCTTCTCTTTTCCCAGAATTGTTGCCTAAAAATTCTTAAAAATACTAATAAGACATAGGCTAGGCTGTTTAAAAAGACTAGATCTGGAACTGTAGTGGGTTTTGTTTTTGATCTTTCTATCCTAATGTTTTTGTACATGTAAGTTGATACATGAAAATACATGTGAAACTTGCAAAGGTGTTGCAGGTTTGATGACAAAAGTGTAAATTAATGATGTCTTAGTGAACTTGAAACAAATATCGTATTTTGTTTTTGTGAGACAGAAGAAAAATAACAGAACCCTCTCTTTGAAAGCACTTCAGTATGAATATTGTATATCTTTAAAGAGCATAGTACATTTTACAGTGTTTACATTGGTTGTATTTCTTGTACATTATTCAGAAGGCAAATAGTTCCATTGTAAGTTTTAGTGATGGATCAATGCATATTTTAATCATGGAAGTACAGTGGCACATAATGTTTCAGAGACCTATTTGTTACTATCTTACAGAGGTTTTCTTTAAAAATATTTTGATTACCTCCACATCAATTTGCAGCTCCTAACTACAGGAATAACTGTTTTTGAAATAAAAATATTTTTTAGGACAGAAGATTATGCTAACTGAATCATAAGTTATGTAATTGTAAATGCTACTTTGCTTTTACTTTCCCGAGTAAAAATAACCACAAGGTGCAGTTTAATTTAAATGATTGAAAAAATGGGGTATTTTTTTGGTTTAGAGATATAGTCTCTCACATTGCATCTTAGATCACCTGTTTTGAGGTGAGATAGTGCCCTCAGTCAGAACCTTTTCGTAAATTCTCATTTAAGTACAAAAGTATTAGGTAGATTTTCAGTTTTGATTAAACTTAATTTATTACTACCCACCTTAATTTTTTTAGGCTAGTTGTGTTTAGAATATTTTAAAAATTAACTCAAATGTTGCTTTCTTTTCAGACGGAAGGTGCAGATGTACCGGACTACAGATTACTGAAGAAACAGGATCTTTTTCCAGGCACAGTGTACAGGTTCAGAGTTGCTGCAATTAATGGCTGTGGTGTTGGGCCTTTCAGTAAAATCAGTGAATTCAAAACTTGCATTCCGGGTTTTCCTGGAGCTCCTTCAACAGTCAAAATCACCAAGGTGAGAAATATATGTAATTCTAGTTCTGATGTATAAAATTCTTTATACATCAGTTTAATCTCAGAACTCTTGGGTTTAGTTGGTTTGTTGTTGGGGTTATTTTTAAGTTAAAATTGTCATATAAAATTGTTTCAAATACTTACTTAACTCTGCTCAATGTAATATTCTTTAAGAAAATTGCTAAAAATAATAATTTTAAGACTTACTGATTATGTTACCAGATACGTGTCTTATTCAGTCATCTGATGGTTTACCTGTGATTTTCTGTTCATTCATCCTTAAATCTGTAGGGGTTTACCATGCTTTTTAAAAAAAAAAAGTCAAAAGATGCATCCTTATCTCCAGAGTGATGATGTTTAGGTTAGAATTCTCAAATAATCTTTAGAATTTGGGGGGTTTTATTTTTATATTGTTTATATATTTATGGTTAGCTACATACTATCACATTTTTCTCTCTTTTCCTTCAGAGTGTAGACTGTATTCATCTTTCTTGGGAGCCTCCTGCTTCACCCTCTGGAAATATTTTAGAATATTCTGCCTACTTAGCAATCCGTTCCACACAGTTACAGGAAAATCCAAGTCAGCTTGTATTCATGAGAATATACTGTGGTCTTAAAACATCCTGTATAGTGACTGCTGCCCAGCTTTCCAACGCTCACGTTGACTACACTTCCCGACCTGCCATAGTGTTCCGGATTTCCGCGAAGAACGAGAGAGGGTACGGACCGGCCACGCAAGTCCGGTGGCTCCAAGGTAAAGTCTTGAAGTGTTCTTTTGTTCCTTACAGGAGCTTTATGCAAATATAGTTGTTGAAGTTGTCTTTGCATTAAAAAAAAAAAAAAAAAATTGGATTTGTTCACAGGCAAAAACAAGCAAGTTTGTTGGTCATTGAGTCTTACCTGCTCCCTAAAACTATAACAGCCTAGGAAGCTTCTGACTTCCCTGGGCTTCACTTCGGCTCAAAAATTTTTCCAGTCTAATAAGCAATCCATTTACATGCATGTGTGTAATCAGGGGGTGTTTTTCAGTCTTTTCACCCTCCTTATTAGAAAAAATTTTCATTAGATGATGTAAGGTGCAATTTTGTGATGCTTATACACTTTAAAGTCTGTATTACAGCCAGAAGAGGTTTTGTCATCTTGTCCCTGCGCTTGAATTTGTACAGGTTCATGATGACCTGGGGATGGGAGTGGATTCACTGAAAATAGATTAGTTTTAGCCTGATCAGTTCTGGCTCACCTTACAAGTCAGCCACTCCAGAGGCTCTAAACAAGAACTTTTGCTGTCTTCCAAAATGTTTAGTATTCCAGTGCTGTTTTAACCCTTTAACTAGCAATGACTTTGACCATGATCTGTACCCCAGAACTCTGAAACAGCAGTTGTTTGAAAGTGTTTGACCATGTACACCACGTGAAATTATGAAGCATTTAACAATGTCTCCTCCTTTTTTCAGATATGAAAACATCAGGCTCAAAGTAGTGTTGCTACTCTCAAAGCCATCAGTAGAAACAACCTAATAAATCTCCAGTTTCGAATGTAGTGTTTAATGTAACTCTTGTACTATTTGTAAATGCTACAAATGTTTTATTTTTGCATTGTTTTTATCTTAAAAATATATAACCTTTTTTACGTTTGACACATCAGCGTTACACAGCCTTACTCAGGTATATGAGTACCAGATAGAAACTATATTGAAGACGGTGGGGTGAAGGATCACACCCTATCCAGCAGCTCTTTTTGGTAGTGATAGTTAAAATGTAAAAAAATACACACTTTCAAATTAAAAACAAAGAACAAATTTGGCACAAGCAGCAGTATTTGAGGTAGAGTCCCCATTATTGCTTCGGATCTTGCACAGATAATTCGTAAGATTTGGTATAAGAGCAAATTCTGTTTGGTTTTGGTTCCTTATACCACATTCTTCGTTGTGGTGTCTGAGTACAAGGCAAAAATTTCCAGTTATTATATAGTAACTTAAAATGTATAAATATTTTAATATATACTTTTTTTGTAAAGAAATGATTTTTTCTACTATTTGTAACAAATATCTTAATCTTGAAAGATATCCCCTGAAAATTTAAAAGGAAAAAGAGAAACTTATCCATTGCTCTTATTACAAAAAACATAAATTCAATGTAAATGCACTACTAATATTTAGAATTATCCTTTTGTAGTTGTACAAATCTTGAACTTGTAAATACCAATGTTTACAAGAGACCTTTCTGGTCTTGTATGAAAACTTCCATGAGATTCATTCTCTTTTTTTTTTTTTTTTTGTTTTTTTTAATAAATCCATATGCTTTGCTTTTAGCATATGCTTGCTTTTTGCACTAATAATAACTTACCTCATTCCTGTGTTTGTAATCACTTGTGTTGCTTCCATAATGTTTCTGTAAAACTTCAATCTGAAAATTTTAACCAAAGTTTAGAATACATGGTAAGCAATTTTGCACATATTATATGGCAACTTTCAACATATTTATTCCAGTTAATCTTCTTAAGTGCTTGTTTGCTTTACCAATATATTCTACCAATCAAGTTCAGTATCTCCCTTTTACTATGCATCATTTTACATTAACTAGCTAGCTGATAAAATCAACAAGCATTACTTCTAGGAATAGGTTGATCCATTCCTATGCTAAAAGAAAAAATTTGTTCACAGTAGTGAAATAAAGGTAAACATTTTAAATGCTATTTATATATCTATATGTAAGCCTGTGTTTACCAAAGTGTAGAGGAAAATGGCTGAGTTGGACAAGGTCACTAGGTGAATAGATTGAGGCACTTAAATAAGATTTATTTTAAAATAAAATCTAAATTATTTACTGTGCAATGAAGTTTATACTTTGCACTTTAATTTTGCCCCAAATGCCAAAAGACTATACATCAAGGTAGAATTTCTTGCCTCTTCCAGTTAAATTTGTCTTAAGAGCGTTTGTAAATATAGAAACTAAAACAAATTATGTGCCTGGTTTGGTGGGAGAAGTATCACTAAAATATTAGGGATTTAACAGCTCAAGTATCCCAGAGCAGATTTAATAGCCAAGTTTTGGCTGCCCTGAAAATCAGGGTTATAACGGAAGTGCTGGTACAGCCTTAATTATCGCAACGCATCACACGCCACAATAGCATATGAGAAGTGCTGGGGACCATAAATCACTCTGATAGTGTTAATTGTGGCACAGGAGTAATACATGTGGTTTGACTCCAGAGGAAAACCGTGTGATAATAACAGATATCCCAGATTCACTTTAAACAGTGTTTATAGTATGAATGTATAGGACTTTTCCTGAAGTTAACTGGCTTTAAGATATTTGTGTTTTAATGGTCCATTTTGTCAGGTATGATCTCACTACCAATACTGTCTGATAACTCAAATATCATACACACGAACTGTTAACTAGAAGAGTAGAACTTGGTTTTTCTTATTAGTACTGTGAAAGAAGCCTTTAGAGAAAACATTTGTGGCTTTGATTTTGTTGGTTGATAGCTGTGATTGTAGAGTCGTTATTTAAGAATAAAACCTGTTGGGTATGTCTGGGTGGAGTTTTTTTGCACTTGGTTTCACCTGCTTTGCACAATTTCTTTTTCAGTGGGTATGTCACAACTACCAAAGGGTAAAACTGTGGCGTTTTCAATGAAAGTGTAATTTCCTTGTAAGTGTGCTTTCTTCAGCTGACTTGACATAAGATGTCACTTTCTCTTTTTGTCCAAGTTGGGTGATGTTGAATAGTGACCATAAGCAAACCTTCAGTTCCTCACAGTTTTACTTTAACCTGAAATTGTGGTACACACTGTAAAATACACTTTGTGGTCTGTTTTTAGAACTGTATTTATAATGTCTAAATCCCACCTGTTTGCCTATCAACTAGATATCAGACAAATATTGATTGTTCAGTTTTAAATTTGTTTAGAAGACTGTTGACACCAGCTCTTTGAGAATTCGTGTTATACATTTATTTCAGATACTGCTAAAGGAGATGTAACAGAAACTGAAATCTATCAGATGACAGTATCCATATTGTAGAAATGTCTAGGTTTACTAAACTCCTTAGGGAGGTTGTGACTGTGTAAGTATAGGACAGTCGTGCCACTTATGGCAGACACTGCTACAGCTTCACCTTAAGAATGTTCTTGTGAAAGTGGAAATGAAATGAACAATAACCTATACTTTGTGTTTTCAAAGTAATTATAGCAATATCTTTTGAATGTAGTTTGGAGTAGAGCACATGATCATGCCATAAACTCTGAAGATATAATAAGTATTACTGTTGTTATCTGATATTTCAGGATAGCGAATTTGACGTGAACTTAGTCTTACAGCCTGTTACTTAATGACCTCTACAAGGAAACTGACATTTTGTACAATTGAAGTTGATTAGTCTTATTTCAGAGCATTGTTTGTTCTTTGTAATAAAGTGGTTGTCCTATCAAATGCATTGTAAACACCGTGTGGGGCTGTTTTTTCAAAGGTGTACGTGTACAAACTTCAAATTTCTGATACAGAGAAGAGGGTGAGTGAGTTTGTCAAGGCAGGGAAGAGGATTTAATGATAATGTAATACTATCCCTGTTTCAGGTTACTTCTTGGTTACCTCATGAGCTTTTTCCTTAGTGGAGGCTCTCCACTTTCCTTGCCCCACCTTCTCCTACAGTTGCTGTGCCCTCACCATTACTCTCACCCTTCCTTGCCTTTGTGCCATGCAGCTTGCAGGCTGTGGTCTCTGAAGTGAAATTTTGAAATTACTTCCCCTGCCTGTACACCAGCCATGCTGTTCAAAATGAGTGACAAGGAGTTTGGTGTTGCTTTGTTACAGTTTGTTAAAAACATGTGTCAGTACTTAGTGTGCTCAGAAGGCTTCTGGTAAGGACATGAATTGCATTTGTGTCCAGCTCTGCTCAAAATGTCATCATCTTGGGCAAGCTGGTGAACTTTTATGGCAGTTGACTATGGGGAACTACTGAGGAAACAAGCAGTACGTGTGGCCAGAAGCAGGGGAGCAGAGACAAGCAAGTGAACTGGAAGGTCTGGATTGTTTCTAGACCTCCTTAAGAGACTTCATACAAGAAACTGCTAAAAGCTGTCTGCTCCAGATTTATTCCTTCCTTGTGTTCCTAGCTATTGTAATAACTGTTGTTATTATTTTGTTATTTGTGATCCTTGCATTAGTGGAAAACAAATGGGAAAACCTAAACAATCAGTGAAGAATTCCCTCATGCTGTTTTCTTTCTGTTAATAAGATTCTCAGAGTAGGACTTATTTTCTCTTGAAGGCAAATTTGAATTTGCTGTATGAATTTATCTTAAAAACAACTCAGGCTTATTTTTCTTTATGGCATTAGCTGGTCCCCTGCGTATTTTTATATTTTCTAATGAGCTAAACATCAGGGGTTTTATTCTGTGGCTTCCAGTTCTGACACTGAAGCATTTCCAGATTCCCAGGGCAGGGGTGGAGCACTGACTGCTGGCACTGTGTGCAGTGAGCGTGTTCCTCCTCCTGTTCGTAGCTGTGAAATCTTCCTTTTGGTGGTGTTTTGGACTGATCTGGACGTGGAGATCTCCTTTATTTATCCAGAAGTTAGCTGAAAGGTATCAGGACGATGAGCTTAAAATGAATTCTCTTGTTCCATGAATGAGTCTGGAGGATACTGCATCTCCAGCACTGCCCCCAGAGAGGGGAAACCCCCAGGGCGTGCTTGGGAGGCAGGTGGGGGTAGGTTGGGCATCCAGCCAGATCATAGAATCTGTGTCTTGCACCTGCAGCCCCCTGGAGGGAGGATGGCAGGAAGGCCCAAGAGATCTCTGTAAGCTTGTGGGCCCGTTTGTCTAACTCCATCCTTATGTGCCTAAAGGTATCTGGTAAAAATCTGGCATCTATAAAGCTGCTAAATGAAGCCTTGGTCTGTTCCCTAAATCCTTCAAAAGCCTGAAGCACTTTACGGTACTTGTTGGACTCACAGCCCTGACAGTAACAACAAAAATGTCTACCAAACTGGGGCTGGGCATAGTTTGCTGTCATTGTTTTTTTTTCAAGGGGGTTCTTGCCTCTCACAAGCATCTGCTTTTAATATATGACATAATTGCTAAGTTGGTACAGCAGCTCCTTAAAATGAAAACTAAGGCTTGGATGTGGTATCTTCAAAGAGAAAAAGAGATGAAGCGTTTCAGTGTGTCCTGGTGTTCAGAGAGTTATTTCTGTATCTGTTTAAATTACAAAATATTGTTATCCACACATGGAAGTTATCAATATAGTTATTTCCAAGTGATTCTTAAAAGAGGCACACTTGGTATAATGCCATTTTAGAAGGTTCAACGGTAATATTTCCTTTGTTTTGTTTGCATCCTCTTTTTTTGTCTGCATTCACTCATTTAAATGTTTATTGTCTAGGACTCTTAACTGCCTTTTAGAGTAGCCATCACTCTCTTACGTGCAGTGCTGATAGTTCTCCTTTAACAAAAAGTTATTTAGTACAAGTAGCACCTTGCAACTTTGGGATATTAAGAAATATCCCAAATTTTCCTTTTTAGTAGCAGCTTTGCAATTATTTCTTCATTGTACTTTGCCTGACTAGAGAAGAGACTTTTATGTTGACCTTAAATGCTGTCTGCTCCATAAGGAAAATGGAGTCTGGGAGCAACTCTCTGAAATAACTGTCTTGAAAAAAAAAGGCTTGAAATATCAATGTAATAGTTTGAGTTTTCACCTATTTATGTTACAGCATAAATGTTTTAGTGTAAATGCAGGATATTTATGTAGTTATTATTGAAAGATTACCAAAGAAAGTTAGGAAGATGAAGTTGCTGTAGAAAAGTACTGCTGAGTCATCTGAAGCAATGTGGGAGCTGTCAAGCCAGACAAAATGGCCATTTATTGTTATTATTTCTTTTTCTGATGGGTACAGAACTTGATCCCACTGCATCCACCCCAGAGACATTTGGGATGAGTTTCAGCTGCTTGGCTTGTGAAATGTGGCTGTTGCTCATGGTTTTCAATGGAGTGAGAGTGGACTCATCCTCTGATGCAACACTCCCCAGGCCCTTTTTTCTCATCACAAAGTGATGGAGCCTGTTTCCCTGTAGCAGAAATGTTCTCCAGCTGGCTGGAGGTGAGATTTTTGGATCCTTTCCTTCTCCCTCAGTGCTTAGCCTTTCCTGTTAGCTGGCTCTGGGCATCTCCCTGCTCATCAGGTTGCTTTTCCTGGTATGTTACATTACACAGGGAACTTGGGTGTCTGGCTGGCTTTGGATTTCATGGCTGGGGCCAAGGAGTTGGATGCTGCAGAAACAAACCTGTGCATCCCAGCACCCTTTATCTGTGCTGTGTTGCTCTCAACAGTGATGGGACATAAGCTTTTCTGGGGTTGACTGTCTTCCCACAGGGTGCAGAGAGAAGTGAAAATATTATATATTCCTCCTAATTTGCTGTTGCATAAAATGGTGGCCATTCTCTAGCTGCAGCTGTATTTTGAGTGACACAGCACTTACACCTGAACTGTGAGTCTCAGGTGTGCTGTTGGGAGGTGGTTTTATTTGCTGTTCATGTTACTGTGTGGGCTGTGCCAGATTAAGTGTAAGGCACACACAGATCAGATTAGCAGCCCCAAGGATGCCCCTCTGCCCAGCAGATTTAAACCCTCAATAGTTTTCTTTCATACAAACACAAATCAGGTGCCATTGCTCCCGATAAACAGATCCCCTGGCCGACTGTGCTGCAGTAAAATATTCCAGGAAATGACCCTGGAAATTTGCCTGGAAGATTTCTTACACAAGGGTAGCCGACTCAGTCTGAGCTGCTGTGCACAGCCTCACCTCTGGCCCTGCCTCCACAGCCATCCTTGGAGACTCTGATTTAATAAACTCTGCAGCTGGCACCAATTTGGAGACCATTGTGCACAGGAGCAAACTGCCCTCACTCCCAAGAGCACGTGGCCTTGGATGTCACCACAAGCTGAACTGGCAGTTTCCAGAGAGCTTCCCATTAAACTTTTACATACCCAGGGTCAGAGGTGACGTTGCATTCCATTATCATCCCACTTTCACAAATCAATAGGTAAATGGATCAATATTTGGTTGCTTGAATGTATTTTTTTCAGCCTTTGAAAGGACAAAAGTGTGAATTATTTTGCCAGAACAGCATATCTGATTTTTGAAGAGGAGAAATTGGTTTGTATTTTCAACAAGGTATATCTTAAAGAGTACCACATCCAAAAGGCATCCTACCGCTGCTCTTTCCACCAAACCAGTCTGACAGGAGAACAGTAAGAACCATGGTCCACATTATCAATATTTAACTTCTTCCTCTAGGGCTGCTTGGGCCCTGTATAAAATATAGTTTTCCTATAGTGTTATTAATCTTAGAATCTACATACAGGGGTGTGGTTTTTTCATCTATAGGCACAAGAAAATTCACTTCAAATTTAGGTGAAAATCTTCCTTTCTTTTACTTTACTTGGTACAAATCAAAACTGAAAAACTCAAGCCTGCACCATTTGGGAGTACAGTGACTTAAAAGCAAGTTGTCTTATTGCTGTAAATGTAACTGAAGCA